CAAATATACAATGAAACCGGTTTTCTTCAAAAATTTGCCCCCAAAATGCAATCTATCCCCAAATCCTTGGACACCAAAAATTCCCAACTTAAGAAAATCCCTCAATTTTGAACTTGAAAGCCACAGACAACTGAACTTGCATGGGAGCGCAGCTGTGAGGCAAGTAATAGAAAGAAACCTCCCGAGTTCTTCTGATGGCGCCTAATTCAAGTAAAATCTGATAAAAACCTGAGGAAATGAGACTCACAGCCCCCCCAGAGTCTACCAGAGCAGGGAACTTGGAATCTCCGACAGTGACAAAAATGTGTGGACAAACGCTTGTGGGAGCACGGATGCCAAGAGGAGCGACACCCACTAAGCCCTTGGCTAGAGGTTCGCTAGGCAGAACAAATCCCGGCAGCTGAGGTGGTGGAGAACGGGGGTTTACCGAGGCAAACCGTTTTTTGGAATAGGGGGAGCTGGTTGCCGACAAAAACGGCGGATGTGACCACGTTGCCCACACCCAAAACATATAAGAACAGGGCAATGGGGCACATCTCCGCTTCCCATAGAGACCTGGCCCACCAAGGCACGAGACGTGTGCTGGTTGCCCTCCCTTCCACCTTACGTTGGTCGATGAGCTGCACATTTCTGGCGGTGACAACCAGCTGGTCGAGCTCCGCAAAGGTGACAGGTTTGGGACAAAACAGCAGGTGAAAACGCTCTTCTGGAGTTATTCCGTCCAGAATGACCTGAACCACCTCCTCCTCACTGAAGTCCAAACGCAACACACGACTGGCACTGCGAACCTCCGTGCAATAGGCAGCAAGGCTTTCACGAATATAAAAACATCTATAAAACATCTGCATTTTGAGGTCCTCACGCATCCTCCCAGGAACAAAAGTTTGAAGTGTTTGCCTGTGAAATTCCTCAAAATTTCCCTTCTTGGACAGAACCAGATTCAACAAATCAGAAAGTGGAAAACGGCAATATGGGATCAACAAACTGAGAAGCAGTGAGTCGAGTCTTAAGGCTAAGGGCCGCTAAAATCTCATTCAGGCTACCAGAAACTTGTTTGAGGCAGGCAAGGTCATCCCCCTTGAGTGAGCCTACGGTAGCCAACGGGCCAGCGCGTCCCTTCAAATGTCCAATGCAAGATATCGCTCGGGACCTCGCTCTACCGGTCAAGGGCTCATCCTTCAGCTACTCCACTCGAAAATTCCTCAAATTTTTACTTGCAAGCCTCCAACTCTTCAGTGACCACTACGGTAGGTGGCCACGATGTGACAAACTTGCTTGCTGTCAACCCTCGCAACTGTGTGTGCAAAGAGCTCACGTCAGTCGCAGGTTTAGCTCCCCTAGCCTTCACCTCAAACACAAGCTCATTCTTGTACAGAAACTCGGGAATCAAAGAGCTAGACATTCTGACACCTAACACAAAAATTACAATCACTAAAGCCTGGTTTACACGGGTCGAGTATGTCAGACGAGTTATTCGGCCCAGTTGTTGATTTGTTCAACTCGCCCGGTACTTGACTAGACTGTCTACACGCATTCCTAAAATTCCTATTTAGAACAATGACAGTGTAAGTAGGCACAGAGAAGTAATTTTTATAATTTCTCTGTGTTCTGTGGTGTAGGGTATTCCGTGTACCTTAGCTTTCGTGTTAAATGTTGTTTGAGTTTAAAATGGGACTTTCAAGAGTTTAATGCTGAATTTATAAAAAATGGACTAACATCTTTGACTATTTAATAGTAAATGCCAACATTAAATTGAATTAAGTAAATAGCTGCTTAGTACTAAATATATACATTTGTAGTGCAAATGTGAATTGACCTGAACATAAAACTGTATAACTGCCGACTAATATAGTAAAGTTCAATTTATTATTCTGAAAGTTGTGAAATTATGATGTCATATATATTCATAAATGTCAAACTCTTTACTCCATGAATGAAAGAGCTTAGAGGATAAGTCGTTCTCTCTGTCTTAAGTAGACGACAAAATTGTTAGTCGCAAAACGTAAACAAATAAAAAGAAGAAGAAGGTAGCTTCTAATGTTATTCTTATGGGACGAATTTAAAAATGTTTTATTAGGGGTTTATAATTACTACTGAGCGGAATCGTCTAGAATTTTAATGGGGTATTCCCACTGGTGTCATAATTATGTGTGCAAAATTTGAACGCTATAAGTGCAACGGTTCTTGAGATTTGACGCGAACACACTCACGGACTCACAGACAAGCGGACAACTTTTCTCCGACTCCGCTATACACGATACATAGATTCGTTCACTTCGTTCACTCATCTATTAATTAAATCACTGAACTAGATTATTAGAATTAAAACTAAATCATCCATTTAATTCAGGCAGGGTTGCTTAAGTTTTTTTTTTTTTTTTTTTTTAATACAATAGACCAAAGTGGAAGGTGATATTCTAAAAGAATAAGATTTGTTACAAATTACTATACCGGTACTGCATTTCTTTAAAATAAAACATATAGGCAACCAAAAGTTGCCTCCAAATAAAAAAAATGTGAAAACACTGTTTTCAATGTATTTCTGATAGAAAACATTTTTAGGGAGTGAGCTTTCTAACAACCTATTGATAAATAAAATCGTTCCAGTAGAACTGTAGATATTAAGTTGTACAACAATTTTGAAAACTGAATTTTTTAAGAGTGAGTAGATTTACGATCAGCAAGACAATGCAACACAGGGCCAACTGTTCAACTGAACCATTTAGTATTGAGGGTGATTAGGCATACACTACTGAACTAACCCCAAAAATACTGAACGTTGTGATCGACTCTTTGTCAGCGACCACAAAATAACAAAAAAAAATTTTCTGTGGTCGCTGGACTCATGAGAGCAGTAAACAGATGTTTTGCGGGCAAATCGTGGTGGTGGGGGTAGCTACTGGGCCGAGCAACTCGGTTTTCAACTAAATCACTCGACTCGCTCTCAACTGACCTCTTTTTATCAACTCGCCCGTTGCTCGACTCGCCTGCATGTCTACACCAAGCGAGTTAAAGAGCGAGTGGCAACTCGCACACTGACTCGCCCGCCGTACTCGACCCGTGTAAACCAGGCTTAACTATCTCTAATTCACAGATGAGATCACAACCACGGGGCCAACAATCAAAATCAGCCTGCCACCAACAGGTCACAAATCAGAATCATGAGACGACCAAAAAAAAAAAAAAAACAAATTAATAACTAACAGACAATAAACCACTATGACTAAACACAAATGCAATGTCCTCCTAACCTCAACAAAATTTCATTTTAAAATTACCAGCTTTATAACTAATGCACAGTAAATTGGACCAAACTACGCTCTGCTACCATTTGTAACCGAAGTCTAAACTCCATTAATTAAAAGGGTGAAGCCCTTGGAAGCACAAAATCAATGGTGGGATTCCGGCAAAATATTGCTGAGGTGGAGGACCAACAATAACAACACAAAAGCTGGCTGGACACAAAAGTTACCAGACGAAACGTCCGGCAGACGCAGCCAGTTAGTACCAACCGCGCAACAACTAAAACTGTGGCGTTGAGCACGTACACACGGCAGAAATGTCACATGAATTAGGTTTAAATTTTTCACATCTAGGTTGACTTAACAACATAGGTTTATCAAGAGTTGCTGGTAATGTATCTCCAGACATTATAATGAATTAGACTGTGGAATTGAATAATCTCTTGCATTCTAAGATTTCCATCAAATCATCCTCGTTGCCAGTTTTATGTTTGAAGTAAATACATAAATTGTTAGGTAAATTAGTTTAATAAAATAGAGATGTATCCCAGTCATGAGCTAGAGCATGTCTCTTCAAGCCCTTTATCTCGAGTAATCAAGCAAAACAGTCCTTTGCCTTTGGGAAGCTTTCTTTTAATCACTGCTGCTGAAGAAGCTGCAGTTCAGGTACCGGCTTCCTCAGATTTTGTGGATATACAAAAGATTTCTTTCAACATTTAAAAAGTAATTTTGTTTTGCAATTGAAATTTTGTATTCAATCAATATATTCAAAACTGTTTCTTATCTTATAATTTACCGTCCTACACTAGAACTCAAATCAACCCACTTTTAAAAACAAATTTGTCATGGAATTAACAATGATACTTCAAAATCTTGTCTCTAACATTGATTCTCCGGCCAAAATATACTAACTTAGTCTTTTCATTGTTTATATCTAATCCTATTGATGGAGTTTTGAACTCTCAACAAGTTCAAAAGCTCAAATACCTGTGTGCAAAAGTAATTTAAAAAAGTAATGAATTAACGAATTAATAGAAATTCAAAATAGAATAAATTTGACAAATAGAAGAATGTATACATTAAACGACATTTTGAAATCAAAATTACTGACACACAAAACAACATTAAGATTACGCAAGACTATAAGCCCAATCCTGCTTTATGGAGCAGAGACATTATAGAAAAACAAACATAAAATAAGTTGGATCTGTTAGAGAGGGAGAAGGATGGAGAATTACGCACAACCAAGAAATCAGAGAAAGTTTCCGCTCCCCAGATATTGTAGGAGAAGCGAAGATCAGAAGACTTAGGTGGGCTAGCCATGTTCTTAGGAGGGAAGGTGATAGACTAATTAAAGAAGTTTCTAGGCAAACCCCAGCTGGAAGAAGACCCCGAGGGAGACTCGAGAATCGCTGGAAGGACTAGGTGGAGAAAGTTTTGCGAGAATTGAGAGCAAGGCAAGAAGATTCAGAGAACATGGAGGGATCGAGGCAACTTGTTGGCGAGGCCACATACCACCTAGGGTTTCCATGGCTATGGGAGCAAGAGTAAGTAACAACAAAAGTAAAACAATAGAGAAGCAGTTCCCAAATCTGTTTGTAATCCCCACGTTCATCCTAGCTTTGTTTTGTGGCCTATCTATTATGTAATAATAATAATAATTGTTATTACCGCTTATTAAAATTTATATCGTAATTTGTATTGTGTAAAGGGTTTACTGAGAAGTGATACAATTAAGGATATCAATGAGCCATAATATACTTTTATGTGTATAATTAAAAATAGTTTTAAATATCTATAATCACAAATACTTCACTCTTTCCATCATTTTCATGAACCTGCATATTTGAATACGTTATTGCTTTGACTTCAGTGCCCTGAGGATGTTTACCTAATTCAAATGTTTCTCCAAAACCTCTAGCCTGTATCTTGAAGTTGTCTCTGTCAAATTCTAGTATTTTTACTTTCTGAAACAAGAACAAGATTTGTGTAGTACCCTTGCGCATTATGAAACTCTAGAATGAAGACTCGAGATATTAAGCTGGCACTGACTTGATTTACTTTTTCACCAGTCAGTACAACATCCTCTTTATTTTCCTGTTTATTATATCACCTTAGAGCAGTGCTGCCAGGTGTACAATAACTATAATATTTGTTCGATATTTTTGCCTCTCCCCCTTAAAAATCATTTTTTTAATCTGGATAGAAAAATTAGACAATAGGTTGGATTCAAGTATATAACAAGCCAACCACATCTGACCAAACCATCCATAATACATCTTATCAACCCCATTAACAAGTTTGCCGCTTACAATAATATGGTGTGTAGATTGTTTAATATATCAATGTCAGACAACAATTTATGATAAGGAACTAAATATAATCAAACCCATAGCTACAGCAAATTGTTATAACAGTGTCATGATCGACAGATTGGTAGCAAAAAAGACAAACAAAAGACCAAGAGATATTTAATTACAAAAAAAGTATTTATGAGTGGAATACTCAAATTCCATTCAAAAAAACGCTCACAAAAGGGCTAAAGAAACACAACATTGAATTGGTTTTTAAAACAAACAACAAAACAATTGACAACCTAAGTTTCAATTAACTTAAGAGATGAAGGAGAGAAGTTTTATAAAATTAAATGTGAAAGTTGCCCGAGCTAAAACATAAAACATAGGAAAAACAAGGCGGACATGTTCATTCAAGACTAAATACAAAGAGCAACATCCAGTTCCTAGAGCCGACAAACAAGTCATCTTTTGCACAACACTTTGTTGACAAAAATCTTGATATGAACAATCTGAAAACTGAATTGGAAATACTCCACACAAGTAAAAGAAAGGCAATAGATAGCTTACACTGAAAATAATTTGGAAGATATAATTTTAAATGACAAATTATAGTACAAGTCACACATTATATTCAATAGCATTTCAAATCAGTAAAGGAAACTGAAGCCAGGAGTACAAAGTACAGTTGATTACGCCGCCACACCGGGAACGACATAGGAATCCTTCAGTTGGAGTCTTGCTCAGATCATGACAATGTCAACCAGTACCTTGTGTGCGACAGGTCTGTTTGTTTTTGTAATTTCTAATTGTAATGTAAATATTTAAGTTTGTTACAAACTCTAACTTTAATGATGCTGCTTCAGCAGAGATTTACATGTAATATTCATATTCATTTGATACATTGCATAAAACAAATGTAGCACTATGATTCAAGGTTTAGGCAAATAGGTTTAGTTTTCAAACCTTTGAATTTATATACATACCCGAGCGATGAAATACGGTTCAGCACTGAATAGGAACAAAAATTCATCCAGAAAATGGAACAGAAGAGAAAGCATGTCGTGCCCTTCTGCCTCAATGTCTTGGGTATCTACCATCTCTACATACTCAATCTCCGTCATGTAGCCGAACATGGCATTGGCACATTGCTCAAACGCCTCAGGCAGTGAGTCACCCCAAGCATGAATCCTGCACAGCAAAACATGTATAGATAATTGTAAACATGTAAAATGCTTATTGCAGTCATACTCTTGCATTGCATTTGTAATGGGAGAGGACACATACGTTTTTGAACATTTGTTTAACTATTATTTACTGTATACTATAGTATAGCAAATCGACCATAGCCATAATGTTCTACCACTGCACCTAAACAATAGAAAAAAGTTAAGTTCTCACTGATTTTTGTTGCTGCTTGGGTCAAATTAGCTGTTGTCATAAATGCAAAAAAAATAATAGTGCTGCACCCTGATGGTAAACCTTATGTTATAACCTTTTAATGACATTGAATTCATAGAACCAACTTGTAGTTGAAACAGCTGGAAAAATTCTTTAATTCCTTTTAAATATATGAACTAAATAACCTGTTGCTCGAATTCGAGCAAATCTGCAGCCTGTAATAAAATAATGAGACCCGTAGCCTCTTCAACCAAAAATTATCGTGGCTTCAAACTTCGCGTTAACCGAGAGAGAGTTGTTGGGAGCTTAATTCACGCACACAATTGGACAAAAATGGGATTTATCTATATAATTAATACGCTACATGGAACTTTGTCGGTTGAACTCCTCCGCCATTTCTTAACCAATTTTATCCATTGACGTCTCATTGACAAGGGCGTGTCGCGTAGATTTGCAAACTGGCCTTACATTTTTGAAAACGTCCCTTGGGCTCTGCCCCAGTGGGTTTGAAAGTTCCCATGTTATCCTTATGAAGAACCTAATTGTTTACGTTTTAATCAGCTGTATAATTGAATTGCTGTTATTTATTTTTCAATTCAATGAAACGCATTGAGTACATTTATTTACTATTTGAGTTTGTGTAAACATAACATCCAAGACGGATCGTGTTAGTATGGTTGTATCTTAAATTTGTGTATTTATCGTTGTTTTGTGTCGCTCTGACGGATCGTGTTAGCATGATTGTTACTTAAATTTGTGCATTTGTCGTTGTTTTGTGTAGCAATAATTTGTTCATTTATTTTTTTTTCCCCTTTTAAATGCCTCCGACGCGAAGACAACGAAACATAGACAGGAGGCGTAATCGTGATAACGACCGCAGCTACAGAGAACAGTGGCGCGTAATAGGCAAAGTCAGCACCTGACCCTGGTCAATCTCAACTATTAGGTTAAAAATGCGCCCTAACACTACCCCAAAATGACTTTTCGTTCTCAATTGGTTCTCTATCAATGACCTGTGTTGCCTGGACAGCGAGGCATTTTGAGAAGGAGAAAACCGGCCGGAATGCTTTAGGTTTATCAATAACGAAGATAAACATGGTCTGAGTTACACACCGGTAATCTTTGAGTTGACTCTTTTAAACCCATTGTAAATATGACTGTTATTCGTTTTGAAATAACTCCTGTAGTACTTTGCAATTGCTCGAATTCGAGCAACATGTACACTAGTTACTTCATTAATTCACTAAAATTATACAATCAAGAACTCACTTAAATTACACAATTAAGGTTTAACCACTTTTTACAAAATAATTTAGATGTCGAATTTAAAGTTAAGAAATAAAATTTAGGTTAGAGGGAGCGCGGAGTCACGTCTGTTTTAATTGAGATTTCAACGCGGACTGCCTTGTTCTTTCGTTGTCGGCAGTGCTGATGCGCCTCGTGGGCCAATCAGCGTTCAGCGTAGTCACTGAGCAACACCCTGCGCAAGGCTCGACCTCTTTGCCCGCCAAATACACTCCCCAACGGAGACTAGCTCCGTCAGCAGAAAGCCCGAGTCAGCACCGGCAATGAGCATATTCCAGCTTCATAACTTTTACCATTAGAATATTCTTATAATTTAAACGAGGTTGGAGATAGTTTGGTGATGCTGGGATATTCATATGGAGACTCAATTATCTTCAAATAATTACTTAAATAAATATTTCTTAAGTTTCTGGCCACTGGTTTGGACGATGATCATATTGATTAATTATTGATACTAATGTATTGATAACAGTGTGATGGTCGATGTTAACACCAAACCAGGTCATTTATACAAATTTGGCAGTTACTCCTACCCTGCCAATTCCTCATTTAATTATCATATCTCCTGAGTAGTCGATTAGACATTAATTATTAGGAGTATAAACGGCTAGGCCGTTACAATAATGAAGAAAGAAACATAATCAGCAAAACCTCAATCATAGAGTCACTCTAAAGAAATTTCTATGACTGTGTGATTATAGAAATGTGAAAAATATTATGTTGTCAAAAATTATGAAAGTAATCTACGGTACAATATTTAAATATAGATCCGTTCTCATACTGCTTTGGTTATCTCTTATGAACTGTAGGCAGGTGCCCTCTATTAGAACGTAGATGTCAACCACACACTGTAAAAGTGAGCTTTTCAGACCTAATGTAGCAAGCTAAATCCCTCTCTTGACACCAACCAGTACGACACGTACTGTATAGCTTTGTTAAATTATTTTTACGATATGTTCTGTTTTAGGAGTGTTTAAATTAAGTGCCCCAACCAAACTCTCCTGTTGAGAACATTAGAGTGGATTTAACGACGTATCTAGAACGGATTGCTGTTTAACACTATTCGTTTTTTGAAAAAAAAAGATTTATTTGGCCAGGTGGTGCTCTGTTTCCAGCTTTAAAATTGCTGCGACATCTATACAGGTAGCATCATTGTAGAGAGGAAAGTCACTTCTTTTGTCCCTTACTATGCACATAAGAATCTAACTTGAATCTTCGGAGCTCTCGTCCCTACAGATTTCTGCCACAGTTTTAAAAGATTGGGCAAATGGGTTGGCATTGTGACCCTATATCCCACATATATGTTTTCATTGCATTTTTTATTGTTTTACATGCGCTGTTGGGTTCCAGAGTCAACATCGTACTTATAGATCTCTACGTATTCAGGATCATCTTGAGCAATTAGATTACCTACTCGGTGGTAAAAGGTAAAATGTGTCATGGATCTTGAAATTTTAGATCCCCTGTGTGACCCTACTGTCAAAATGAGCTTCAGAGCTGACCATGGCAAAGGCGGAATTGAATTGACAATTTTTATCCAGATGATTTCTGGATTCAAACCTCGCAGCCCTGTTTTCAGATTGGGAGTTTCCAATAAGTTCCTGAAAGTATGGTGAATTCCGCAAATTATTTAAACTAACCTTTCATTTATGGCAACAGAGAGTAAAAATGGAACTGTCTCGGCCAGTCTTTCCTTGCTTAAAATGTAAGCCATCACAATGTAAAAATGTAACGTTCATTTGTCTCGGACCGAGATTGTATGTATCACCACAGCGCTACTGCCACTCTGCATCCGTCAAATTGGGAGGTTAGATGCATGCGGTCTCGTTTGGGTTCCCTCCAACCATTCACAGTTCTTCGTCTTACTGGTGGCATTTAATTTTAAATTGAGATAAAATACGAAAGTTAACCAATCAACAAAAAATACTACAAAGGAATTTTGATACACATTGTAAATTACATGATAATATGATAATGTAATGAGTAACTTCACTGTGAATAATTACTTGCAAACATTCACTTAAATTGCACCAAACTGTAACCAAAACTACATGATAATTCAGTAAAATACAATATAAGTTAAATAAATCAGTTAAATAAATAATATAAGTTAAATAAATTCAACTATTACAAACCATTTGATGTCAGGACTTGCAGGAAACTCTTTATTTATGAACCAGACTTAGTTAACAGATGTTAAAATTTAAAATTCCGTCTTGGCTCTGGATCTAATCTAAAGTCCTGCAGTCAGTTGTTAAACAAAAAAAAATTTTAAACTAGGTCCATATGTTTAGTTGTAAACAAAGGGAATTGAGTTTAAAGGTTTGGTCCAATGTCAACAGATAGCGCCACCGTTCCGAAACTTTAGCCCTTAACTGTACCTAAGATATGCCCTTTCATAATATTCTGAGACTTATTTGCACATCTACGTGAAAATACCTTTAATTTGGCACCTCAAACGTCAAACTCCGTCCAGCCGTTATATCGAGTTATGACTGTGAAAAGAAAACTGCTTGCGTATTAATATATAGATGCTCATAACACTTGACCTTTGAAATACTATTTAAAAATTAACAGCTGGTTCGTTAAAAGTAGTGTAAAATTATACATGGTCATAATGTAAACACATCTGCTGAGGGGACTTTAAAGGCCTCTGAGGCAGAGCCCCAAGGGAATTTACCTTGTTTCTCTTTTGATCGCTCATCTACAGACCAAGACCTTTCTTAAGAGACCCCTACCAAGTTTCTATGCCCAGCCGTTCTCTGAAATTAGCTGTGACAAAAACACGTTTTTCCCCATAAGAATAACATGGGATGGGAATTTAAAGGCCACTAGGGCAGAGCCCCAAGGGAATTTACCACGTCTCTCTTTTGATGGCTCATCTACAGACCAAGCCCTTTCTTTAGACACCTCTGCCAAGTTTCTACGCCCATCCGTTCTCTCAAACTAGCTGTCACAAAGAAAAACAGTTTCAAATTAATATGGGTGTAAATTAAGTCTGGCACACATTTTTTATCTTTTTTTCTATGGTAGATAGAAGAAATCAATTTGCGGGACTGATTAATAACAAATGTTAGGCACTTTTTACAAATTTTGAAAATAAAAATTCCCTTAAGGGCAAGGGGGGGTGGGGGGTAACTAAAAATGTCCAAATGACAACCCCCATCTTGTGACCCTTTATTTTAAAGGTCATTGGAAGACAAATCCAAAGATGTGTCTAAAAACTTTTTCCAGCACCCTATCCAAGATGGCGGTTTAAAATGTACTTAGTGTTGAACGGGTAAATTAGGTGTATGGCACACATTTCTTATCTTTTTTACTCTTTGTAGATAGAAGGAATTAATTTGCGGGACTGAGTAAGAACAAATGTTTGGCACTTTTTCATAATTTTGAAAAAATTCCCCTTAAGGGTAAGGTGGGGATGGGGGTAACTAAAAATTTTCAAATGACAACCCCCATCTTGTGAGGCAACGAGTATCTACTATCTAGGTGCCCTATCTACAAAGAGTGAAAAAGATAAGAAATGTGTGCCATACCTAATTTACCCGTTCAACCCTAAGTACATTTTAAACCGCCATCTTGGATAGGGTGCTGGAAAAAGTTTTTAGACACATCTTTGGATTTGTCTTCCAATTACCTTTAAAATGAGGGGTCACAAGATGGGGGTTGTCATTTGAAAATTTTTAGTTACCGTACCCCCCACCCCCCTTGCCCTTAAGGGAATTTTTATTTTCAAAATTTGTAAAAAGTGCCTAACATTTCTTATTAATCAGTCCCGCAAATTGATTTCTTCTATCTACTATAGAAAAAAAGTGTGCCAGACTTAATTTACACACTGTATAAGCATAAAATGAGGTTACTAACCTGTCGTCAATCAGTCCTCTATTGTCTTGGATGACTAGTTTCGGGGTTAAAACCCCATTTTCAAATCTCTTCAGTCGTCAAATGTCAAACATATTTTCTTGCATAAGCCGTCGTCAAAATTAGTTCTTATGCAAGAAAATATGTTTGACATTTGACGACTGAAGAGATTTGAAAATGGGGTTTTAACCCCGAAACTAGTCATCCAAGACAATAGAGGACTGATTGACGACAGGTTAGTAACCTCATTTTATGTCAATAGATCAATCCTGGAGGCAAATTATGTATAAAATATTTATAAGGTTAATATAGGAAATTCTAGAGCCACTGGGGCGGAGCCTGAAAGGATTTTTGATAAAAGAATATGTATTTATGTTAATCGAGAATGTGAGCTATCATCATACCAAATTTCAACCCAATCTGACCAGTAGTGAATTGTGATTCACCAGTGTGTGATTGACCAGTGCGTGATTGAAATTCAAACAAACAAACAGACACACAAACTTTCACATTTATAATATTAGTATGACTAGCTGTGTGCCCATTCTACGGACCCGCATCTTGTAGTCAGTTGAAACCTTTGTATATTCAGAACAGCAGATGGTTAGCATATTTCCAGATATGCTGGCAAAATTAAAGGACATTTTATAAACCATCGCAAATATAGTATCTAACAGTTTGAAGCCAAAACAAATGCTTCGCAATTAAATGTCACCCGGATTGTGTTGGTCCATATGTTATATCTAATGATTAAACTAAAATACTCCCGTCGCAGCAAACCTGCAGACTAAGTAAATTTCCATTTGCCTGAATTGATTTTAAATTAAATCTATTTCAATATCATTAGGTTTAACGAGTACCTAGGTTTGCTGCTACAGGAAGGCTAATAGAGTACGGTTTTTAGTAAAATATTTGTAGCTTACTTTAAAATAAATATATTTGCAAAGTCAAAATATTTCCATAAACAAGCAAACTACAACATCTATTCTGTTCTATTCTATATATAATTCAGTTTTAAAAATCTTTGTACAACTAAATCTAGAGTTCTACTGGACCGATTTTATTAATTAACGTCGTTGGAAAGCTTAAGTCATGTAGATTTGCAAATCATTATGAAAGTTTGTTTTTCTTATGATTTATGGTGAAAAATAAAAAAAAAACATGTTTTCCATAAGAAATACATTGAAAATGTGTTTTTCACACTTTTTATTTGGGTGCGACTTTTGGCTGCCTTTTTTGAGTATTTCCAGGAAGTGCATTGTATCAATTTGTAGGAAATTGTATTCTCTTTCAGAATATCACCTTCCACTTTGGTCGATTTCCTTACCATTTAAAAGTTATTTGCAAAAAAGCTAAGCAACCTCCGAATTTATAGTATAACAAGAAAATATTGAGTTTGGGATATTTTTGTTAAACTTTGTACAACTAAATCTAGACTTCTAGTGGACTGATTTTTTAAATTAATGGGTCATTGGAAAGCCTAACTCATGTAGATTTGCAAATAATTATAAAATTGTGATTTTATTAAATATTTTTTGTAAAAAAGTAAAAATAACAAAAATACATTAAAAACTGCTTTTTCAAGGTTCTGTTTTCATGATTCTATTTTTAGTCAACTTTTGGCTGCCTTTATTACGTATTTTAAAGAAATGCATAGTAGTTATTTGTAGTAATATCCACTTTGGTCGATTTCCCTTCATTTAAAAGTTATTGGCATTAAGCCAAGTGATCTCCAAATTTATAGTGTTGAGAAAATACTGAATTAGATATATTTTTATTAAACTTTGTACAACTAGGCTAAATCTAGACTTCTACCAGACTGATCTTGTTACTTAATGGGTTGTTGGGAAGCCTAATTTGTGTAGATTTGCAAATAATTATGAAAGTTTGATTTTATTAGATATTTGAGCTGAAAAAATAAAAATAAACAATAATACATTTCAAACTCATTTTTTTCCAAGTTTATATTTCCAAGTTTAAATTTGTAGCCAACTATAGGCTGCCTTTATTGAGTATTTTCAAGAAATGCATAATAGTAATTTGTAGGAATTTTTATTCTCTTTCAGAATATCACTTTCTACTTTGGTCGATTTCCTCACCGTTTCGGAACCTACGTAGCATCTTGATAGCATTCTCGGATTTGGCCTCTTTCAATGCTGCTTTCTAAGTGCCTACTTTGCTGGTCGTATCGCAACCAGAAAAATGTGTGAATGGCAGGTAGAACTACTGATGTGATACCCATAATCTTCAGATGCAATGTGACAGCCTAGATACATTTGTTTCTCAGAAGTTCCGATTTTAATTCATAAAGCAGAACATTTTATGTCGCACAATTCTTTCCAAAAATATAACCAATACGAACACACCAGTGTCAGGACTGTGAACGACTACTAACTAAAACTGCTCTTGTATTGTGGGAAAGTAACGCTTGTTCGGTGTTGTTCGGGTGGGGCGCAGCTTTGCACAACCCACCCCTAACTTGTCGACCACCCCTGGAGGTGACGACATGGGTTTTGAAACCTAGACCCCCATTACCAAAATCAAAAGTCAAGGGGGTTAAAAGCGGTTTAAACCGATTAACATTTTTCGCATGGTTGCCCCCCCAAGAAGTTGTCGACCACCCCTGGAGGTGACAACATGGGTTTTTAAAACACTCACCTAGACCCCCATTACCGAATTCAAAAAAACAATTTAAATTAATGTCTTACTTAAGTTCAATAACAAGGGAGTTAAACACAGTTTCCGATTAACATTTTTCGTAACTTTGCAAACTGCACCTAGCACCTCGCCTACAGTATGTAGGCCTAGCCCAATGATTTCACTACGTTTAGACCCAACGAGCTCATTATATATTTAAGTTGGTTAGAGGTTGTTGATTCTATTGATAGGTCAACATTATAAAAAGAAATTAGCCTAAATGAGTAAGTATGTTAAATAAGTTAGTAAAGACAACTTACTGTACATCAGCTGTGTGGTCCAGATCTGAAACAGTAACTTTATGTTAAATAACTCAGACCAATGATATAAAGTACCTAAATTTATACCAGTAGGCCTGAGATAATTGGCAGCGTCATTTGTAACAGAAGACTTCTTTTAAAACAAACTGACTTATAGGCTATCGGTTTATTAGTCGTAGTTCAAAATTATAGCCTAAGTTAAATTTAAAAAAATAGGCCTAACTTACTTCTGTACAAAATGATATTGAAAGCCATTTGGACCTGTGGTAGACTAAGTTATCCAGCTCTGAAGAATTTTTATTTAATCTGTACAGTAACTGCTCATAACTTACCACTTAATGAAACATAAAATGTGATTATCGGTCAAGTTTTAAGAGCAGTCTGTAAATAAATGAGTGTTAAGTAATTTGGTAGACATTTATTTTTGAGAACATTTGCTATTTAGCAAATGATACAATAACTTGGAACACTAACCTATTTGAGAATTTAGACTAAGGATTAAACAGTAAATAAATAAAAAACCTTGTTAATACTTACATTCATACTTTTTGGGGGGAATATTCCAGTCTTCTTCGGTAATATTAGCCATATTATCTTTAAATTGTTATTAGGTGCTGTAAGCTCTTCTAATTATATAAATTGCAGCTCATAAAATGAAGTTAGTGGTATCTTGTTTCATTGTGTATGACCATTCATTGAATGACATGACATAGTATGGGGGAATATTCCAGTCTTCTTCGGTAATATTAGCCATATTATCTTTAAATTGTTATTAGGTGCTGTAAGCTCTTCTAATTATATAAATTGCAGCTCATAAAATGAAGTTAGTGGTATCTTGTTTCATTGTGTATGACCATTCATTGAATGACATGACATAGACACTAGCACTAGACAATGGATGTAAAACTGCCAATAAACCAACATTAAGCTATGACGTCAACGTCAGATCAGCAGATCAAGAAGGCCGTGGCTTCAGAACTTCCTAACCTCAAATGCATGTTTCACTGAAAAATGTGGAAATCATATATTTTGAGCAGTGTTTAAGTGTTTGTTTTACTAATGTACCATTTTTATATAACTGAGTTGCCTAAATAAAGTACAATAACCATTAATATCACTTGTTGTTATTCCATTGTATCACTCTATGAACCACTAACCTCAAAGTGCATTACTCGCAACAAAGATATGTAAACATTCCTTTCAGCCTATTTTAATATTATTTAATTAATTTGATTAATAAATGTAACCGAGGCACATACGAAAAAAAAAATAATGATATAACACTGTTACTGTTATACCATAATATTGAATCACGAAATATACTCCCGACGTACGAGATTGTAACAGTGTTACAGTAAATAAAAACAGCTTCAACTGGTACAATCAACAGAATGAGTTGAGTAAAGTGTATTATTTCAAATCTGGTTTGATTCATGTTTATTATTTTCATGGAGTATGTTATTTACACGTATATACATGCCATAATAAAATGGCAAGCCCATTCGATGCTTATAATGGTTACTGTAGGTGGTATAAGATAGGCCTGCTCCTTACTGGGCTACGTTTTTTTCAGATAAAAAAATTATATTTCAAATTTCGCTCGATAAATTTTTATTATTTTTATGGAGTATGTTATTTAGACTTCTATACATGTTATAATTAAATGGCAAGCCCATTCAATGCTTATGATGGTTTCTATAGGTGGTAGAAGATAAGCCTGCACCTTATTGTGCTACCAAATTTTCATAAAAAAAATTATATTTCAAATTTGGCTCGGTAAATTTTGATTATTTTTATGGAGTATGTTATTTACAAGTATACACGTGACATAATTAAATGGCAAGCCCATTCAATGCTTATGATGGTTTCTATAGGTGGTAGAAGATAGTCCTGCTCCTTACTGAGCTACCGATTTTTCAGAAGAAAAAAATTATTTTTCAAATTTCGCTCGATAAATTTTGATTATTTTTATGGAGTATGTTATTTACAAGTATACACGTGACATAATTAAATGGCAAGCCCATTCAATGCTTATGATGGTTTCTATAGGTGGTAGAAGATAGGCCTGCTCCTTACTGGGCTACGTTTTTTTCAGATAAAAAAATTATATTTCAAATTTCGCTCGATAAATTTTCATTATTTTTATGGAGTATGTTATTTAGACGTATACACATGTCATACGTAAATGGCAAGCCCATTCAATGCTTATGATGGTTTCTATAGGTGGTAGAAGATAGTCCTGCTCCTTACTGAGCTACCGATTTTTCAGAAGAAAAAAATTATATTTCAAATTTCGCTCGATAAATTTTGATTATTTTTATGGAGTATGTTATTTACAAGTATACACGTGACATAATTAAATGGCAAGCCCATTCAATGCTTATGATGGTTTCTATAGGTGGTAGAAGATAGGCCTGCTCCTTACTGGGCTACGGTTTTTTTCAGATAAAAAAATTATATTTCAAATTTCGCTCGATAAATTTTCATTATTTTTATGGAGTATGTTATTTAGACGTATACACATGTCATACGTAAATGGCAAGCCCATTCAATGCTTATGATGGTTTCTATAGTTGGTAGAAGATAGTCCTGCTCCTTACTGAGCTACCGATTTTTCAGAAGAAAAAAATTATATTTCAAATTTCGCTCGATAAATTTTGATTATTTTTATGGAGTATGTTATTTACAAGTATACACGTGACATAATTAAATGGCAAGCCCATTCAATGCTTATGATGGTTTCTATAGGTGGTAGAAGATAGGCCTGCTCCTTACTGGGCTACGGTTTTTTTCAGATAAAAAAATTATATTTCAAATTTCGCTCGATAAATTTTCATTATTTTTATGGAGTATGTTATTTAGACGTATACACATGTCATACGTAAATGGCAAGCCCATTCAATGCTTATGATGGTTTCTATAGTTGGTAGAATATAGTCCTGCTCCTTACTGAGCTACCGATTTTTCAGAAGAAAAAAATTATATTTCAAATTTCGCTCGATAAATTTTGATTATTTTTATGGAGTATGTTATTTACAAGTATACACGTGACATAATTAAATGGCAAGCCCATTCAATGCTTATGATGGTTTCTATAGGTGGTAGAAGATAGGCCTGCTCCTTACTGGGCTACGTTTTTTTCAGATAAAAAAATTATATTTCAAATTTCGCTCGATAAATTTTCATTATTTTTATGGAGTATGTTATTTAGACGTATACACATGTCATACGTAAATGGCAAGCCCATTCAATGCTTATGATGGTTTCTATAGGTGGTAGAAGATAGTCCTGCTCCTTACTGAGCTACCGATTTTTCAGAAGAAAAAAATTATATTTCAAATTTCGCTCGATAAATTTTGATTATTTTTATGGAGTATGTTATTTACAAGTATACACGTGACATAATTAAATGGCAAGCCCATTCAATGCTTATGATGGTTTCTATAGGTGGTAGAAGATAGGCCTGCTCCTTACTGGGCTACGGTTTTTTTCAGATAAAAAGATTATATTTCAAATTTCGCTCGATAAATTTTCATTATTTTTATGGAGTATGTTATTTAGACGTATACACATGTCATACGTAAATGGCAAGCCCATTCAATGCTTATGATGGTTTCTATAGTTGGTAGAAGATAGTCCTGCTCCTTACTGAGCTACCGATTTTTCAGAAGAAAAAAATTATATTTCAAATTTCGCTCGATAAATTTTGATTATTTTTATGGAGTATGTTATTTACAAGTATACACGTGACATAATTAAATGGCAAGCCCATTCAATGCTTATGATGGTTTCTATAGGTGGTAGAAGATAGGCCTGCTCCTTACTGGGCTACGGTTTTTTTCAGATAAAAAAATTATATTTCAAATTTCGCTCGATAAATTTTCATTATTTTTATGGAGTATGTTATTTAGACGTATACACATGTCATACGTAAATGGCAAGCCCATTCAATGCTTATGATGGTTTCTATAGTTGGTAGAATATAGTCCTGCTCCTTACTGAGCTACCGATTTTTCAGAAGAAAAAAATTATATTTCAAATTTCGCTCGATAAATTTTGATTATTTTTATGGAGTATGTTATTTACAAGTATACACGTGACATAATTAAATGGCAAGCCCATTCAATGCTTATGATGGTTTCTATAGGTGGTAGAAGATAGGCCTGCTCCTTACTGGGCTACGTTTTTTTCAGATAAAAAAATTATATTTCAAATTTCGCTCGATAAATTTTCATTATTTTTATGGAGTATGTTATTTAGACGTATACACATGTCATACGTAAATGGCAAGCCCATTCAATGCTTATGATGGTTTCTATAGTTGGTAGAAGATAGTCCTGCTCCTTACTGAGCTACCGATTTTTCAGAAGAAAAAAATTATATTTCAAATTTCGCTCGATAAATTTTGATTATTTTTATGGAGTATGTTATTTAGACTTCTACACATGTTATAATTAAATGGCAAGCCCATTCAATGCTTATGATGGTTTCTATAGGTGGTAGAAGATAGGCCTGCTCCTTACTGGGCTACGGTTTTTTTCAGATAAAAAAATTATATTTCAAATTTCGCTCGATAAATTTTCATTATTTTTATGGAGTATGTTATTTAGACGTATACACATGTCATACGTAAATGGCAAGCCCATTCAATGCTTATGATGGTTTCTATAGTTGGTAGAAGATAGTCCTGCTCCTTACTGAGCTACCGATTTTTCAGAAGAAAAAAATTATATTTCAAATTTCGCTCGATAAATTTTGATTATTTTTATGGAGTATGTTATTTACAAGTATACACGTGACATAATTAAATGGCAAGCCCATTCAATGCTTATGATGGTTTCTATAGGTGGTAGAAGATAGGCCTGCTCCTTACTGGGCTACGGTTTTTTTCAGATAAAAAAATTATATTTCAAATTTCGCTCGATAAATTTTCATTATTTTTATGGAGTATGTTATTTAGACGTATACACATGTCATACGTAAATGGCAAGCCCATTCAATGCTTATGATGGTTTCTATAGTTGGTAGAATATAGTCCTGCTCCTTACTGAGCTACCGATTTTTCAGAAGAAAAAAATTATATTTCAAATTTCGCTCGATAAATTTTGATTATTTTTATGGAGTATGTTATTTACAAGTATACACGTGACATAATTAAATGGCAAGCCCATTCAATGCTTATGATGGTTTCTATAGGTGGTAGAAGATAGGCCTGCTCCTTACTGGGCTACGTTTTTTTCAGATAAAAAAATTATATTTCAAATTTCGCTCGATAAATTTTCATTATTTTTATGGAGTATGTTATTTAGACGTATACACATGTCATACGTAAATGGCAAGCCCATTCAATGCTTATGATGGTTTCTATAGGTGGTAGAAGATAGTCCTGCTCCTTACTGAGCTACCGATTTTTCAGAAGAAAAAAATTATATTTCAAATTTCGCTCGATAAATTTTGATTATTTTTATGGAGTATGTTATTTACAAGTATACACGTGACATAATTAAATGGCAAGCCCATTCAATGCTTATGATGGTTTCTATAGGTGGTAGAAGATAGGCCTGCTCCTTACTGGGCTACGGTTTTTTTCAGATAAAAAGATTATATTTCAAATTTCGCTCGATAAATTTTCATTATTTTTATGGAGTATGTTATTTAGACGTATACACATGTCATACGTAAATGGCAAGCCCATTCAATGCTTATGATGGTTTCTATAGTTGGTAGAAGATAGTCCTGCTCCTTACTGAGCTACCGATTTTTCAGAAGAAAAAAATTATATTTCAAATTTCGCTCGATAAATTTTGATTATTTTTATGGAGTATGTTATTTAGACTTCTACACATGTTATAATTAAATGGCAAGCCCATTCAATGCTTATGATGGTTTCTATAGGTGGTAGAAGATAGGCCTGCTCCTTACTGGGCTACGGTTTTTTTCAGATAAAAAAATTATATTTCAAATTTCGCTCGATAAATTTTCATTATTTTTATGGAGTATGTTATTTAGACGTATACACATGTCATACGTAAATGGCAAGCCCATTCAATGCTTATGATGGTTTCTATAGTTGGTAGAAGATAGTCCTGCTCCTTACTGAGCTACCGATTTTTCAGAAGAAAAAAATTATATTTCAAATTTCGCTCGATAAATTTTGATTATTTTTATGGAGTATGTTATTTACAAGTATACACGTGACATAATTAAATGGCAAGCCCATTCAATGCTTATGATGGTTTCTATAGGTGGTAGAAGATAGGCCTGCTCCTTACTGGGCTACGGTTTTTTTCAGATAAAAAAATTATATTTCAAATTTCGCTCGATAAATTTTCATTATTTTTATGGAGTATGTTATTTAGACGTATACACATGTCATACGTAAATGGCAAGCCCATTCAATGCTTATGATGGTTTCTATAGTTGGTAGAAGATAGTCCTGCTCCTTACTGAGCTACCGATTTTTCAGAAGAAAAAAATTATATTTCAAATTTCGCTCGATAAATTTTGATTATTTTTATGGAGTATGTTATTTACAAGTATACACGTGACATAATTAAATGGCAAGCCCATTCAATGCTTATGATGGTTTCTATAGGTGGTAGAAGATAGGCCTGCTCCTTACTGGGCTACGGTTTTTTTCAGATAAAAAAATTATATTTCAAATTTCGCTCGATAAATTTTCATTATTTTTATGGAGTATGTTATTTAGACGTATACACATGTCATACGTAAATGGCAAGCCCATTCAATGCTTATGATGGTTTCTATAGTTGGTAGAATATAGTCCTGCTCCTTACTGAGCTACCGATTTTTCAGAAGAAAAAAATTATATTTCAAATTTCGCTCGATAAATTTTGATTATTTTTATGGAGTATGTTATTTACAAGTATACACGTGACATAATTAAATGGCAAGCCCATTCAATGCTTATGATGGTTTCTATAGGTGGTAGAAGATAGGCCTGCTCCTTACTGGGCTACGTTTTTTTCAGATAAAAAAATTATATTTCAAATTTCGCTCGATAAATTTTCATTATTTTTATGGAGTATGTTATTTAGACGTATACACATGTCATACGTAAATGGCAAGCCCATTCAATGCTTATGATGGTTTCTATAGGTGGTAGAAGATAGTCCTGCTCCTTACTGAGCTACCGATTTTTCAGAAGAAAAAAATTATATTTCAAATTTCGCTCGATAAATTTTGATTATTTTTATGGAGTATGTTATTTACAAGTATACACGTGACATAATTAAATGGCAAGCCCATTCAATGCTTATGATGGTTTCTATAGGTGGTAGAAGATAGGCCTGCTCCTTACTGGGCTACGGTTTTTTTCAGATAAAAAAATTATATTTCAAATTTCGCTCGATAAATTTTCATTATTTTTATGGAGTATGTTATTTAGACGTATACACATGTCATACGTAAATGGCAAGCCCATTCAATGCTTATGATGGTTTCTATAGTTGGTAGAATATAGTCCTGCTCCTTACTGAGCTACCGATTTTTCAGAAGAAAAAAATTATATTTCAAATTTCGCTCGATAAATTTTGATTATTTTTATGGAGTATGTTATTTACAAGTATACACGTGACATAATTAAATGGCAAGCCCATTCAATGCTTATGATGGTTTCTATAGGTGGTAGAAGATAGGCCTGCTCCTTACTGGGCTACGTTTTTTTCAGATAAAAAAATTATATTTCAAATTTCGCTCGATAAATTTTCATTATTTTTATGGAGTATGTTATTTAGACGTATACACATGTCATACGTAAATGGCAAGCCCATTCAATGCTTATGATGGTTTCTATAGGTGGTAGAAGATAGTCCTGCTCCTTACTGAGCTACCGATTTTTCAGAAGAAAAAAATTATATTTCAAATTTCGCTCGATAAATTTTGATTATTTTTATGGAGTATGTTATTTACAAGTATACACGTGACATAATTAAATGGCAAGCCCATTCAATGCTTATGATGGTTTCTATAGGTGGTAGAAGATAGGCCTGCTCCTTACTGGGCTACGGTTTTTTTCAGATAAAAAGATTATATTTCAAATTTCGCTCGATAAATTTTCATTATTTTTATGGAGTATGTTATTTAGACGTATACACATGTCATACGTAAATGGCAAGCCCATTCAATGCTTATGATGGTTTCTATAGTTGGTAGAAGATAGTCCTGCTCCTTACTGAGCTACCGATTTTTCAGAAGAAAAAAATTATATTTCAAATTTCGCTCGATAAATTTTGATTATTTTTATGGAGTATGTTATTTAGACTTCTACACATGTTATAATTAAATGGCAAGCCCATTCAATGCTTATGATGGTTTCTATAGGTGGTAGAAGATAGGCCTGCTCCTTACTGGGCTACGGTTTTTTTCAGATAAAAAAATTATATTTCAAATTTCGCTCGATAAATTTTCATTATTTTTATGGAGTATGTTATTTAGACGTATACACATGTCATACGTAAATGGCAAGCCCATTCAATGCTTATGATGGTTTCTATAGTTGGTAGAAGATAGTCCTGCTCCTTACTGAGCTACCGATTTTTCAGAAGAAAAAAATTATATTTCAAATTTCGCTCGATAAATTTTGATTATTTTTATGGAGTATGTTATTTACAAGTATACACGTGACATAATTAAATGGCAAGCCCATTCAATGCTTATGATGGTTTCTATAGGTGGTAGAAGATAGGCCTGCTCCTTACTGGGCTACGGTTTTTTTCAGATAAAAAAATTATATTTCAAATTTCGCTCGATAAATTTTCATTATTTTTATGGAGTATGTTATTTAGACGTATACACATGTCATACGTAAATGGCAAGCCCATTCAATGCTTATGATGGTTTCTATAGTTGGTAGAATATAGTCCTGCTCCTTACTGAGCTACCGATTTTTCAGAAGAAAAAAATTATATTTCAAATTTCGCTCGATAAATTTTGATTATTTTTATGGAGTATGTTATTTACAAGTATACACGTGACATAATTAAATGGCAAGCCCATTCAATGCTTATGATGGTTTCTATAGGTGGTAGAAGATAGGCCTGCTCCTTACTGGGCTACGTTTTTTTCAGATAAAAAAATTATATTTCAAATTTCGCTCGATAAATTTTCATTATTTTTATGGAGTATGTTATTTAGACGTATACACATGTCATACGTAAATGGCAAGCCCATTCAATGCTTATGATGGTTTCTATAGGTGGTAGAAGATAGTCCTGCTCCTTACTGAGCTACCGATTTTTCAGAAGAAAAAAATTATATTTCAAATTTCGCTCGATAAATTTTGATTATTTTTATGGAGTATGTTATTTACAAGTATACACGTGACATAATTAAATGGCAAGCCCATTCAATGCTTATGATGGTTTCTATAGGTGGTAGAAGATAGGCCTGCTCCTTACTGGGCTACGGTTTTTTTCAGATAAAAAAATTATATTTCAAATTTCGCTCGATAAATTTTCATTATTTTTATGGAGTATGTTATTTAGACGTATACACATGTCATACGTAAATGGCAAGCCCATTCAATGCTTATGATGGTTTCTATAGTTGGTAGAATATAGTCCTGCTCCTTACTGAGCTACCGATTTTTCAGAAGAAAAAAATTTACAACGACCTCCCGTATCAGTTCAAAAGTCTTTCGGCCTTAGCTTTAAAAAAGGTTAAAATGCATTTTAAAGCAGGCATGTAATTTTTTGTTGTATGTTTATTCTTGTACAAGATTTGTTTAGATATATGACTTGTAAATATTTAGTTTTAGTGACCTGACGTGGATTATTCTGTAGACCAATATTGTATTATTGAGAAGTGCTCGAGAATAAAGGCATTTTGATTTGATTCGATTTTGTATTGTGATTGTTAACCCTGTAATTGAAAGGAATTTGTACAACAGACTCATACCATTGACTATTGGATAGTCAAAGCTAAAGTTTGCCTCTGATTATTTAGACAATAGACATTGAAATTTTATGTTATGCTCCCCTGACAATGTCAATGCATGTAAATATCCATGATAATAAATTATTTGGTTGATTGCTTTGACTTACAGCTTAGAAATTTTATTTAATATGTTTTATTTCTTATTACAGTTCTCATACTCATCGTGTTCTATATCCACCTGCCTTTATTTAATATAGTACTTTAGCTATTTCAACTCTCTCGTATTTTTTCTGCCTTGGATTCATCTGTCAACTTCAAATGACATTAAGAATAAGAAGCAATAAACAAAGCTTGCGATGGCGATGGCCGACTGTATTTCTGTTTGAAATATATTTGGACACAGTTATATTATTTACTAAAAGAAATAATAATCAAGAATATGATATAATATCGCTATTTCATATTGCAGTTTATGAATTATAGCCATGAAGGTGGAAAACAGGTATATATCACTTTCGTTAGTATGTTTAGAGCCTCGGCCTGAAAGAGCTTTTGCAATTTGCACATAGCCTATTAAAGATTGTTTGGAGGTTAAACTTGTAGGCCTATTTCATATTTATAAAAAAATATTTGTATTTATTCAATAAGTAATATGGCACTGCTAATTTTTAATGAAAACCAAGCTAGCTAGTAATGCAAATTAAGTTTAATGTGTGTGGTCCAGTTAAGTAGGATTACTTTCATTGTTGAAGCCTAAGAAAATAAGCCCTATAAGATTAGGCAGTTAGGAAGTCTTTAAAAATTCTCCAGATCATATGCAATAAATCTTCTAATCTTGAGGGCTAATCTCTATTTAACTTAAGTTAATCCTTTCTCAAAATGTAACTTATTTGGGCTAGTCCTACTTACTTGGGCTTGTTAACTAATTAATTTAATTCCCATCTATGTAAAGAAACTTGCCTAACAGACAAGCTTATACTTAACACACAGCAGGGCTATTTAGGATCTAGCCCTAGTTAACTTAAGTATCATTTTGTTGTTTGTTGTTGTTCCGGATCGGTATGACATACAATAAAAGGTTAAATTCCCTGTGTCCGCCTGTCGATCCTTATTGGCTGTGTCCTATTACAGGAGATGCATTTCGGCAGAATAAACTGCCATCATCAGTCCTAATATAAGTCCTTGTTCTTCCCCATTGGGTGCGTCTTGAAGTTTTTAAACACGTACACGAACGATATTACACTTAGATACATCACAATTAAAACATAAAAACACACGGTAGGCCTACTTTATTTGAGCTACTACGGACATGTAGACGCGCGTCAGTCGTGTGTCGAGTCTCGACTGGGGTCAGACGTTACTTGCAGAGTTGACCTTTGTCCTGTCTCTGTCCTTTGTAGCTACAGGTGGCGTTTCATTCAACTTTAACAATGCTTCGAATAATATGTTGGATTGTAGAGTACTTTTATCATTCAGGAGGTTGTGGGGGGTTGTTTTAGATGCTCTATAAATTTCATATTGCTCTAGTGATGTCATTACTCGACTTTTTTTACAAATGTGTAAAGGTTTTAGATTTTCATTCAGGCTGGAATAACTGTGATTGCTGTCAATCAGGTGTTCGGCAAAATTGGATTGTTGTGTTAAACTATTTTTGGGAAGGTGTTCTTTAAACCTCTTAATAAATGGTCTGCCAGTCTGTCCAATATAGAATTTATTACAGTCACTGCATGTTATTTATACACTCTGAAAAATGAATTGAAAAAACACGGAAAAACTGTAGCGTTTAGAACATCTAATAAAGTCCAAAATCTCCTTAAACCTAGAACCCAACAAAATGTTAAAAACCTGAGTGATAAATCCGGAGTATACAAAATAACATGCAGTGACTGTAATAAATTCTATATTGGACAGACTGGCAGACCATTTATTAAGAGGTTTAAAGAACACCTTCCCAAAAATAGTTTAACACAACAATCCAATTTTGCCGAACACCTGATTGACAGCAATCACAGTTATTCCAGCCTGAATGAAAATCTAAAACCTTTACACATTTGTAAAAAAAGTCGAGTAATGACATCACTAGAGCAATATGAAATTTATAGAGCATCTAAAACAACCCCCCACAACCTCCTGAATGATAAAAGTACTCTACAATCCAACATATTATTCGAAGCATTGTTAAAGTTGAATGAAACGCCACCTGTAGCTACAAAGGACAGAGACAGGACAAAGGTCAACTCTGCAAGTAACGTCTGACCCCAGTCGAGACTCGACACACGACTGACGCGCGTCTACATGTCCGTAGTAGCTCAAATAAAGTAGGCCTACCGTGTGTTTTTATGTTTTAATTGTGATGTATCTAAGTGTAATATCGTTCGTGTACGTGTTTAAAAACTTCAAGACGCACCCAATGGGGAAGAACAAGGACTTATATTAGGACTGATGATGGCAGTTTATTCTGACGAAATGCATCTCCTGTAATAGGACACAGCAAATAAGGATCGACAGGCGGACACAGGTAATTTAACCTTTTATTGTAACTTAAGTAAGTTAGCAGGGTGAAATATAAGTTAAGCTTTTTCCTTTTTTACATCCAATGTCTTCACCACAATCTGTATACTGTGGAATCATCATAGTTCATCATATTTAGATGGGGTTTTTAGGAAGTGAGCTGGCGCATGTTTTTGCCTATGTATGAGTGTTATTCAATGTAGCCTCGTACCCTATTCTAGTGTTGTATTTTTTGGTACTGTAGGCCTAATTTGATTCTTTTCTGTGTATGATCGTTGTTATTTAGGCTAGCTACCTACCTTAAGTTAATAGTAGACCCCCTCTTAACCGACCCTAATGGGACCGGACCTAGGTTGGGTTGCTAAAAAGCTCGCTTAAAACAGTAAAACATAACAAAATGAAGTGCCATTCATTTGGAATTATATAATCAGAAGTCAAATTATTTTTAAAATAAACTAGACTTAAGTCAAGTAATCTCCTTTCTATAGTAAAAAAGACACAAATAGGCTAAACTCAAAAAGTCGAATTATTTTAAAAATAACTAGACTTAGGTACCTAAGTAATCTCTTTTGTATCATAAAAAAGTCACAAATAAACTCAAAACGGTTATTAAGTCAAATACTTTCAGTGGAATAAATAATAGTTGTAGGCAAAAGTCAATCAAAATTTTTATTTTAATAACTTTAGTAGGCCTAAGTTACTGTAGGGTAACATTTAAAAAAAATCATGCCTTTCAAATCCAATCTAATACAGTAGGTACCTACACAGAACTTTTTATCGAAATTAATGTTGCAAGCAACCATTTTGTTACGAGACAAGATGTTTACCTATTTATAACAACTTAGCCTCTCACTGGAGGCTCAAGTCACAAAAACAATCTTGACCTTGGAGTCCTCAACCCCTTTCCCTACCCTCCCAACAGGGTTGCATTGTTCGTTTACTCCAGCAATAAGATAATCAGTTATTAAAATTGTACCGGTAACGCACTTTACGATTTTATAAATTTGCCGCACGGATAACAAATCAAATGTGCTCAAGCTACGAATGATGATGACTAACTGGCAATATGCAATATATGTTTTGGGATAAATGCGAAATAACTTTTAAGTTATTCTTAGTCATCCTGTGGAGATAAGTGTACGGTTCCCATCGCTGAGCGTGGGAGCAAAAATTCCGAGATTCTTAGAATGCGGCGGTTAAACCAAACTGCTCTCAAAGCAAGGTCGGTTAAAACAAACTGTAGTACCGTATTTTACAATTGAAGACGGATACCTAATCCAATTATCTGTTAATGGGAGGTTGGTTAAGAGGGGGTCTACTGTATTTTTAAGCTCTGCATTAGCACTGTGTAATAAATGTTTTTAAGCTATAAACTCAATATTAAGCTCTTTTTTAATCGATATAAGTTGTATTAGTACAGTAATACAATACTCTTAAGAGAACTTATACTTATAAAAAATAGGTAGTGCCAGCATAAAGTATATAGGCCTATACAATTGATAATATTTATAGTAACTTGTGGAAGACGATAAAAAACCATGTTACCATAAGGGCTAGTTGAATTTACTGATAAAACTAAAATACAAGACTTTTAGTTGTACAAGACTTGAGGTACCGTAGGACTATCTTAGTGACATTTTATAAAAAAAAAATATTTTATACACGTTCACTTGTCATATCCTTTGGTGGACATACCTATATGATCATAGTAGCCTGTATGATGTAAAGGCCTACCATGTCCCCTACACAAAAAGGCTTTAGCGCCTAGATTTACGGTTTTTTAACTCGAAAACATGTTACTAAGTCTTATGTTAAAGTATTGTTAGGCCTACAGTAGGCCTAAGTTACAATTTTCTTTTTTATCAAACTTCTCCTAAGTTAATACAACTCTATTATTTACACAAAAGTGAACAATGTTTGAAATAACAATAATAATTGTTTTTTTTAGAGATAAAAAACTTGCAATTTTCAAATGGAAAAGAGTTGTGGATACAATTGGTCCTACGCCTAGGCCAAGACATGGCCATCGTGCTGTGGTTATCAGAGATCTTATGGTGGTGTTTGGGGGAGGTAACGAAGGCATTCACGATGGTCTACATGTGCTAAATACCGGTAAGTTTTATTGTAACTTAAGAATTTGTAAATAAGCTTTTACAGGGTTACAGACCATTCATAGCATTTAAAACCTGTCTGGGCCTAACTTATGTTTAGAAGGTTTTGTGGTTTACCAGTCATTTTGACAAATTTTATTGTCTGGGTAAGCGAGTTGTTAGTCTCGCCTTCAAAATCGAAGGTTCCATTACAAGCGAGGTCTATTCCTAGATGCTGTTTTTCATTAGGCTATGAATTAGTGATGCTTTCTAACAAAACCAGGGCTTAGACCGTTCCCTTCAGGAGCAGTTCCAGGATCATTTTTTGGGTAAGTAGGCCTGACGAGGATCAAGTAGGAGTTTTTTTTGGGTATGAGGTTTTGGAAGGGCTTCCCTGGGTTTTATAATTGAAATACAATACAATAAGAAGTTTTAATTATTTTTGTTACATACTATCATTTTATTATTCATTTACAATTTAGAAATATCTAACCTCAACATTTTATGTAGGACTGGGGCCTACCCTCTGGAGCCACCTCTGTTTCCCTTACAAAAACAATAAAGCTAAAAATTCTACTGGTATAGACACATGTAATAAAATAAGTGAGTGACATTAACGTACTTAAAACAATAATTGCTAACTCCTCAAGCTCTATTCTTTACAGGCATCATAAAACTATCAGTTCCTAAATGGTTATCTGACATTTGCTAGCTCAAAAACAATGGCTCTTATCTTTTCTCTTTTAATTCATTTATTTAAATCAGCCCTCAGAAATATATGTAACTTAGGCCTAAAATGAAATTTCTGGGAATAAGGAAAATTTATTTCTCTGAGTGAATGTATCTGTAACCCAATGTCTGACATTAATTAACTAACTTAAGGCTACTTCTCACAAACATAACGTTTTCAACCCTCTTGTTACAGCAACGGGGAAGTGGCATATTCCACCAATGGTAGGCAACCCCTCTCCCGGCAGAGCATCGTTTGGTTTTGTTGTAGACAACACCCGCGTTATTGCTTTTGGTGGCATGACTGAGTATGGCAAATACTCTAATGATATCTACGAACTCCAGGTAGGCAATCAATGTCATAAGTCCTTTATTCCAGAAATACAAGAGTGCATTGCATTGAAAAAGTCACGCTACACAATAATGAAAAGAACATCTCTTTGTAATATGTAAAAAAAAAACTTTAACTCATTTCAAACGATATCATGTGATGAATGAAGTTGTTGATGTTTGTCTCTTGATGTGTAATTAAATTAATATTAGTTTTACCATTTAAGTCACCATGTCCTCTGCTCTGTGGTCTTCTAGATCGGGAATCATTAAGTTGTGTGGCCTGGATGTAATCTAGATGTAAATGTTACACTTTTCGTTGAAATTGTTATACGGTACATATGTATACATATAAACTATTTGAAGTTACCTAATTATAATGGAAAATGTACTCAACTTATCTTTAATGCTAAATGCTCAATTAATTGCTATGTAAGATTGCTTATTCGTTTGTCACACAGGCAGCCAAATGGGAGTGGCAGAAGCTGATTCCACTGATGCCCCCGTACCTCCCCCCACCATGTCCCCGTCTTGGCCACAGCTTTAACTTAGTTGAGAAGAAAATTTACATGTTTGGTGGACTCGCGTCAACCTGCGAGAAGACCAATCCAGGGTGTGTATAATTTACAGCAGTAGCGTAGTCATACATTTTCTAGTGCGGGAACGTTCACCATTACCTCTCAGAAAAACCAGGGCAGTTCACCTACTAATATTTAGGATTTTTGGAAAAGGTAGAGCGAACCTACCTTTTGGTTCTGGTTAACAGGTAACCTAGAACCTTGAAAGAATTTTATTTACTAGCATATAACGCACAGGGTTTAGTTTACTTGATGATTGTGTCAGCAAGGCACTACTGTAGCTGAAATTATGTATTTTAATTTAAATTTTAAAGTTATAAGGAACTTATTTTATAGTGATACTGTATGTCTGTTATGTAAAAATTGAGGACAATCTAAAATATTAATTTTTAACAGTTCAAGTTTCAACAGTTTGAAAACCTGGCTATAAAATATGCAGTACATTATGAAAGTATTTGTAAGCACCCCTCTTAAATAGTTTGGTGATTTTGGAAGTCACTAAGTAGCTACAAAAAGTTGAACAATTTTCACCTTCATGTTTAGGCCTACCCATGGATAAAAAGTTTGTTCACTTTTCATTTTTTAATTGCCGAAGTTGAACTGCTAACAACCTTAAACGTTATACATTTTTGTAAGTTCAAGTCTAGTGCATGGTAGTACCTTTGACAATTAAATAGTCAATGGTAGTACCTATGTAAGTAATATGTAACGTAACTTATGTAATACGGTATGCGATTATATTTTTGAAAAAACTGAACAAATGACTGATTTTCCTACAATGTAAGTTGACTTATTATTTTCATGGATATCTGAAGGATTTTTAGCTCTAAAGTGTTTAATTTAACCCGGAATTGGAGAAAAGTCAAAACCGTTACCATTAGATTTAAATCCAACTCAATTTAGGAATTGATTTTTTTAAGTTTTAAGTCAAACAGTTATTATGCGTACATTCCTTAAAATTAAAGCTGGTAACTAAAGTGGTAGCCGATAACACATTAACAATGTGACATACTGTGAAACTAACATGTCTTCGGTTCTTTACCCACCACTTATATAATTGTTTTGGCGAGTCGGTGGCTCAGTCGTTAGCGTCATGGACTTTGGGCCCAAGGCAGTGATGTCGTGGGTTCGGATCCTGGTCTCTGCCGTAAACATTTTCTCAGTACAGCTCACCTTTGTACTGTACCGGCTCACCGCTTGCGTTGCTAGATAGGTTCCATGCACGGGCAGTTAGTCTATGTGGACGGGCAAATGCAAGGTTAAAAGAGGCCGCCAACCTCTTAAAAAAAATAAATTATTAAGCACAATGCATTCTCGTACAATCCATTCTCCTATACTGTACTGGCCCATCCCTTTGCTTGATACGTTTCCCACACATGTTTTATGATCCATGTGGGCAGACACATACAAAATTTAATTAGGTTACCAACTTCTAAAAAAGTGGAAGTTTTAAATGCATGTATTTCAGATACCTAAACGATCTGTACGTCCTGGATCTCCAACCTGACGGGAATGTGATTTGGAACATTCCAAGAACCAGCGGACCAGTGCCACCTCCCCGGGAGTCACACACAGCAGTCACATACACGGACAGCGCAGGCTACAATAAGCTCATCATCTACGGTGGAATGAACGGCAACAGACTCGGAGACCTGTGGACGCTTCACATAGGTAGGCCTAAGAAATTATATTCCTTCTAATTAAGTTTTTTTTTTTTTTTTTTTTTTTTTGGGTGGGGGGAAGGAATAATTCCACATATAGTTTTTAGCCATAATTGTAAATATAACTAACATTTCCCTTGTTATGGGGAGAACTGTGTCCTGGTTTCCAGAGCACTTTCCCTTAGTGAGCACTTGCCCTTAACTTAGGGGAAGAACATTTCCCTTCCAGCATTAAAAAGTCTTCTCTACTTGTGTGTTATTTTAAAGCCTCATTTATCAGTAGGGCCTATTGGTGTTTAGTGTTGTTTGTAAAGTTAAAAAGACGGATTAAAAAGTATATATTCTAGCACTACTGACAAGACCAAATTCAGTCTTCAAACTATAAATAATTACTTTCCTTCAAACATTGCCTAAAAACGTGAGTAATTTAGAAAGCATAAGTACCTACGCCTTTTGTTTAAATAAACGATTAAATTCATTAAGCAATGTCAGGCAGTTGCTATCAAAGTACTTTCAGTTAGATTTACCTCAGAATCGAGAGTTTATGTGTAGGTGTAGTATTTTTCACTTCCCCTTCCTGCCCAAGACATTTCGGTGTTTTTTTTTTCTTAGGCCGTTTTGGTTGAAATCGTTATTTAGATTCAGAGTGTTTCGGTTGATTTATATTGTATTTGCACGTTTGGTTTATTCTGTGTATTGTTTGCAGACCACATGTGTTGGACAAAGGAGATCGTGAGGGGACAAGTGCCTCTGCCCCGGTCCCTCCACACGTCCACAGTCATTGGACATCGCATGTTCGTGTTCGGAGGCTGGGTGCCTCTTATCTCAGACGACCGTAACAGTGAGAGTATCTACTGCAACGAGCGCGAGTGGCAGTGCTCAAATACCCTGGCTTGTCTCAACCTAGGTGAGACTAGTAGATGAATTGTTAACTACAGGCCGATCTTGATAATCCAACAGGCTTGGCACCTACACAATAACAAGAATTCTGGATTACCTAGGGTATAATCCTCAATACCCATGATCAGAAGGAACATAAAGACAACAATATTTTATGAATATGTTACTGTATGACGTTTAGTAAGTATTTTCAATGTTTACATTAGTATAGTACAAAACAGAAACACAACTCAATGGATATGAAAAGCACTAGCCTAAACTTTAAAGGGTCAAGTTTTTTGCCACTGTACTGTACAGCAACATGTTTAATGCAAAAGCATGCATTTGATCTATCTAAAATAAGACAGCCACAAGCTTGTTTGATCAACAAACATGTAGGACTGGTAAATGTCGAATAGTCAAGATCAAACTGTGCATTTACTCTTCTTAAAATTTCCTATTTACATAGTGTTATACATTTTTTATGTTTCTCTTGAAATTTTTTAAATTGGATTTTGTTCATTTTGGTTGCACATAGTTTTCCTCGTTATTAGTGCAAAACAGGTTTTCTAAATTTTAGGGATGGACGAGATTGGATTTTTAGTTCGAGACAAGACGAGACGAGATTTTTTATTTCTCATAAAATTTCGAGACGAGATCGAGACGAGATTTCTCTTCTCATACACAACGGGAAATGCACGTTCGAAATTTTTACCTGATTTTGTAACATTTTTAGATGACTGTTTAAATACTAAAATAATGATAATAGGCAAGAATATTTACAATCTTTCATTAAATAACATCAGCATAGGCTAACATTTTTTTATTAATCACGCCTAACTTATTAAAAATGCCTACGATTAGGAAACATGGTGATATCAGTTAGGATAGAGTTCAACTTATCCTAAAATAAAATAAATCATAAAATAAAAGCAATATTAATTTTTATAAAATAGTTACTTGTTTTGACTTTTTTTATAGTAATAAAACATTCCTCACACTGCTTACACTTAACAAAACTTCTCAAATGTTATTAAAGTAATATTATTAAAATAATGAAAGTAATATTTACATTAAAAGAATTAAAGTAATATTTACATTAAAAGAATTAATTAAATAAGAACGCCTTCGAAAAGGAAACGCAACTACAACACGCTCCTGTATTGCGGGTATTGCATTGACTTTCTGCAGGCGTTTTTAATTTTTTTTTTTTATTTTTTTATTTTTTATTCTCGTCTCGATAAAAATCTCGGCCAAAAAGTAATCTCGTCTCGTGTAACGAGATTGAAAATTTCCCGAAAATTTCCCGAAATTTCAAGACTTGACCATCCCTACTAAATTTTTCATGGTTCAAATTCAAAATCTGAAAACATGAAAATATTTTTTTTAAAGTTGTGATGGAAATATCTGCAATAATCCATTAAATGACATAATTGGACCTCCAATCATCTTTATCATCCTCTCTTCTCCATTGTCATTATAATCTCATTAACCAAATTTTTCCGTACAGTACTTCACATGTTTGGATATTTCTGTGTGTTACATAAATGTTCTAAAATGTTAAACCATCTAAGTTCAATATTGTCAAAACTTAATGACTGTTTTTGCATTTCTGTGCGATACATAGTGTTTTGCATGTATTTTTTTAGCACTTTACACGGTGGTGATCCATTATTTTTCTTTGACAGAAACCATGATGTGGGAGGAGTTGCAGACGGAGGCAAAGAGAGAAGATCTGCCTGGAGCGAGGGCTGGACACTCCGCAGTAGCGATTAACTCTCGCATCTACATCTGGTCTGGCCGAGATGGCTATAAGAAGGCCTGGAACAACCAGGTTTGTAACATTCATCAGTATGTTTTTTAAAAATTTAATCAATCCAATGATTCAATCATTGTGTGTATCAACCGTCAAATCTACAGTAAATCTGGTCCAATCGAGACATCTGTAGAAAAGACTAGAGTGAGGGCAGTAGGGACAATGGCCTCTCTAAGAAAAACTAAATTCAATGCTTACTTTTACTATGCTCTGAGAGATCAAACAGATTGTTGCAACAATAGTTATTTGTGTAACTAGTGGTGAAAGTGGCACTTTGCTGCACACGAGAGCAATGTTTACGCACTCGCCTGCGGCTCGTGCGGAATGATCTCGAGTGCAGCAAAGGCCTTTTTCACTCGTGTTACACATTATATTTTTCCTACAGTCACTATAAAGCATATAAATAATTAGTCTTTCAAACACTATACAACACGTTTTTAGGTTCAGCTGGCAACACAAATAGGTGCCCTAGAGAAAGTAGTACCCGCGGTCTGTATCACTCCGCTATTTTTCCTCGGCAAGAAATGTACTCCGCGTTTTGAGAATATAGTTCCGTATGTTTTTGTAATTTGAAGTGGTTTCCGCGCCTAAAAAAAACGCTTTAAAGGTATTTTCTTGTTTATTAAGATCGTAGGAATGTTTTTAAAACGTTTAAATGAAAAGTCCAGAAAGTTCAGAAATACCTAAACTATAAACACGAAATGACAGGTTAAATCGTAGTTATAATAGTCAATCAGCTGCTCATAGTATTATTATCTTTAAGTGTTGCCAACCTATTTCCAAGCGTACACGGATTACGTGCATAATAGAACCACGCTGTTTTGTGTTGTTTCGTTGGAATCCTGATGTGCGGCAAAGTATAAACCGTGCGGCAAAGTATAAACCGTACGGCAAAGTATAAATATGCAGCAATTAGCAGCTTTCTGTACTATAAACAGTACAAGGAAGCCAACTTTGTCGGGTGACTGTAGGAAAATAAGTGTTTAAAGGTTTTTTTTCAAATAATACTGGCTTCTAGACAGCCAACAAGCATGTTTTAAAGCTTTTCACATCAACTTGTTTATGATTGAGGGTCTTTGCCCTCTGTAACAAGTAACAAGATACTACTTTTCCTCCTTGAAGAAAATTGCTGCAAGCACCCATGCCTAAAACTACCAGGTTTGTTTCTTTCTATATTCTTTATAATTTCAATCTGGGAAATTCAAACAGCAAGTAGCTGAGTGGTTATAATGCTCCCCTAAATATCAAAGTTTCCATGAGAAAAGTTTGTAGCTTTTGATGGTTTTAAACTGGTCCTTGCTGTCCTCGGTTGTTTTAAAATAAATAATTATGGCTAAAGACTTACTCTATTCTACAGTCATCTTTATTGCTAATAATAATAATTGTTAAATACGGAGGAAATAATTAACTTTAGTACCAAACACAATCATAGTTCCATTTTAATTCAAAACCAAAAACAAAACAATGCACTGTAAACAAAAGGATTTAAACATGTGATTTCATAGAGTAAACAATATATAATCAAAACATGATTTCTTTCAGTAAATATGTATCAATAACAATAATAAACCAGAATCTCCTAGACATTACCTATCCTGTTACTCGTATTATGCTCACATTTAACAACCCTGATACTCGATCAAATTTAGATTATAGCCTAATAACCTAAAATATCGGCTGATTATTTTATTTTTCCTACAGTCACCTGACAAAGTGGCCTTCCTTGATTATAGCACAGAAAGTAGCTAATTGCTGCATCTACTGACTTTTTCTGCACTTTTTTTACCTTTGCCGCACAGTTATTTATTTATTTTTTTCCGCACACTCCATTCTACACTCATCCTGCACTCATATTTGGATTGAAATACACACTTAGGTGGAGTCCCTATCTCAATTAATTCACAGTTGATAATCTTCTTAATTATTCTAATGTATCTTTGCTTTTCTCAGGTTTGCTGTAAAGATCTGTGGTACCTCGAAGTCGAAAAGCCTCCAGCAGTGGGGAAAATCCAGTTGTTCGCATCTGAAATAAACTTTCTGGAGGTGAACTGGCCAGCCCTCCCACAAGTCGAGCACTACATTCTACAAGTGCAAAAGCAGAGCCATTACGACATGAACATCAAGATTCAAGACGCACCGTTGTTGCGGCAGTCTTCCATGCCTGTTAGTGTTCCTGTGCAAGCCCCCCAAGCAAGAGTAAGCGAGCGGTCGCCCAAACAGATTTCACGATCTCAATCTGGACCTGCAGCTTTGTCTCATGTTCCGATGTCACTTCCCTCACGAACTCCACCTCAGCATTACAGCCCGCAAATGACATCACAACATGATAAAAATTCAGTGGAGCCAAAACGTCGCTATAGGCAGTCAAATAAGCCCTCAACGCCGAAGCGTGTCCGAAAAGGGTGCAACGTTGGATCTCCTACATATCAAGTACCTTCTTTGCCTAGCCCTGTCAGCGGAATCGTACCATTTACACCCCATCCCGGTGGTGACTCGTTGAGGGAGACGCAACCAATGAGATTCTCCTCACCCCAGTCGCAACCTAGAGCTAAAAGACCTTCCAGACCTAATCTTAGTGTTTGTAAACCCATCCTCATCACAATACCTCCGGACTCGGATACAGTCCAGACTTCTTCAGAATCTTCTGCGTTACAAGAACCACGTGAGGCTGAACCCATGATGGTTTACTCCACGGCTGGTCAAAGTTCTGTCACATCGGTTGTTGCTGCCAAACGACCCAGTCACATAGCTGTGACCCCGAATGCCATGAGAACACTTCACACGGTACCTGAGTTGAGACCTGTTAGTCCACGCGGCCCCAGTCAGCCGCTAGTCTCATCAACACTACTTCCATATCTATCGACGACGTTGGCTCGTCTTCAAGGACAATTGGAACCAGGTAGGCCTAGAGTTTTATTATGTGTAAAACAAATTAGTGCTGTCCCATTTTGTATGGCTGTCCAGTAGGCTACTAAAGTGTATCCCGATGTTTTATTTATAATTCATCCTAGCCTTGTTAAGTCATTTTTATAGAAGCAAAACTGAGTACTATATTTTTCACAGACAGTGTATAAGGTTATCATTTTCTATAAACCCATTTAATAAACTTACCAAAACTTTTCTAATGTTTATGCATAGTTTTAGTACAACTATTCAAAGAACTCATCTGTAACTCCTGATTTGTTCAATGTAAACTTAATTCACCTGCGAGTAAAATTCCCGTGAAGTTTCAAGAATATCCTAGAAAACGCTCAAGAATGTTTGATTGGAGCTTGAATTTCTCTCTCTGAACAGTGGTCATGTTAAAATTCTCTTGAGTTTGTACTTCAAATAATATAATTAAGTTGAAAATCTACATTCAAAAACATTTGTTCAGTACTTTTTGAGTGAGGTTGAAAGGAATCAAACGTAAGCCCTTTTTTAAACATCAATTTAGACTGAAAAAACTAATTTTCAGAAACTTCTAAAACTCGAGATGTTCTGGCGGAGGGGCCTAAAGTAACTCAGCCCGTTAAGCAACCAGCCTCATCTCCAATCAAGAGTTCTCCCGCCACATCGTCTGCTGCGCCGCCAACCCCCACCACCATATCAGCTGTTACTACCAGCCCTCCCTGTACGACATCAGCTGTTACATCGGTTCCTGTCACCGTGCAGTCAGCTGTTGTCCCTGTAACAGCTGAGTCCAGTCAAACCAACACAGTTGCCAGCCCGGGCGTGAAGACATTAGTCAACAAAGTCAACGGGAGACCAGTTGCCATCATTTCAGCAAGTCAATTGTCCAAGACTTTATCAGGTATGTAGTGAGTTGTGTTCAAAGATACGTGTTAGGAAAAGAACTGTAGGTTGTATCTGGCAAATTTAGAAATTAACTATCACAGCTAACTAAAGTTGGTTTGCCAAATTTGTTGATAAATTAGTTGATATGTTTTGATGTTACACCTGGTTTGCTAGTTAGATAAATTTTTTGATAAAAATATTTTCACTGTCATTTATAGCCTATGTAGGCCTAGGCTGGTTAAACTTACTTAGCCAAACGCTGGTAACCTACTACCATGCACTACTGAACACCAATTCAATTTATTACGGCATCACACTTAACTTGGTTATGTCATGTTTCTATTTTCATTGTTGAGGTGTTGCCTTCCTGATTAAGTAACAATTACTATTCTAGAGGTTAAATACCTTGTTGCCAACATAATCATTGGTCGTCATTCAGACGACCAATTTCGACACTCTTAGGGTGTCATTGTCAAGCCTTAGAGATGTGGTTGTCACTCCTAGGAGGTGTTCAAAACGTCTTCAAAACACATATACGAGACTTGAACATAAGCAAACATATTTGTACAACTTTTTGACAACCTCCCAGGAGTGGCAACCACATGTCCAAGGCTTGACAATGACACCCTCACAGTTTCAAAACCGGTTGCTATTTAGACGACTAAGAATCACGTTGGCAACAAGGTATGTAACCTCTAGAATTGATGTAGGTAATTTGGAAGTCTGAATCACAAGTGGCCATTCTGGTAGTGGGTAACTTGGTGATCAAGTAAGCAGCCTCAAGGCTCGGGAACCAATGCTAGGATAATAACCTAGAGTTAATTAAAAATGAGTTTATTCTTTGCCATTCTAGATCCATCTGATTCATCTTTTTCAAGTGGTCTTGAATGTGAACCATCACATTTTGTGTTTGTATTATGTTGTTTTCATCATAAAAATCAACTCATCTCATTCTACACTTACCATTTGTTTGTATTGTCTTCCATTTCATAGCTACAGAACAGTAACAAATATTAACTTTGACACCCAATTTAAATAAATAAAATATTTACCAAAGAGTTTTAGTGGGAAAAGAATAAAATTAAGGCTACTAGGAAAAATGTGACTGTAGGTACTAAAAAACGTTACACAAACACAAAATTAATGTATTGTCCTAAAACAGGACCAATTTGAGAGAGTGGCAATGGAATTTGTGTGACCTTTTTTCTGCATCTATAAGCACAAGGACTCTTCAGCCATTTTGTTTTACATAATTTATAATATGATGTTTCCTTAATGTCAATCATCTTGTGATTTGGAAAAATCTGCTACTGTTTTATAATTTGTTTTACTTTGTAACAATCACTTGCAACAATTGTTGAATAGAATCGTCATAGGTTAAAAGGAACTTTTAAACGTTGTATATATGCTCAAATGTGATGTACGTGTCTGTTATGCAAGGTACTGGATGTCGTGCAGGCTCGCCTCTTGTTAAAGCCAACATTGGACAACGAGTGATTGCTCTCACCCGAGCTCCGTCACAACTGGGCAATCGTACGTTCATCTCATCTCATTTCATGTTTACAGACATTGGAGTGTTGGACAAATGTTCAAAAAATTTAGCCTTAAACCTGATTGCTAAAGATTTCTTTTTTAATTGATTATTTACACAAAAATCTATTTGCTGGTTTTAATTTTGTTGTGAAGTAGTAGATTTAAGCTTGCTTAACTGAGAAAAGTAGAGTTGAGTACGCAAAAAGATTTGGCACAATACATCAGAAGTATTTTGTCCTCGCAACTGTCTACTATTATTCCCTACATTTGGAACCAATACAATGGAATGAAATAACAGTTATTTCGTATATAACATTTTTTGAGGTAAACTAGCTGAATTTAATCTCTTATAAAAAACCTCCTTTTACATTTGAGTTATTCAAACCTTTCTTGTTGCTTTCTTTCTTACTTTACCAGTAGAAGAAAGATTGGCTATAGATCATTACAAAATTAAATATTTTAAAATAAAGATTTAAAAACAATGTCTGAAAATTTTGGTTTACTCAACCAGAATAAATTAATGAGTGTTTTAATTTAACACTAAGCAACTTCCAATGTCTGTAAACAATTCATTCATAGGTTACTCATTTTTCATTTCATGTCATTTTTTTCTGTTGGTAGAATTAAATTGTTTAATTTGGAATAGTTACAGTGGAATGATGTAACATTTCTTGAAACGCCTGACTGAACTGCTGAACGAAATAAAATTAGCTTTGCCAAATAAAATTTAAATAATGACCTGCATGCTGCATGCTACAGGGTCAAGGTGATTGCCTGCTCACCACCCTTCATTGGCAACTCTGCTTCCCCATTGATCAGACATCATTGCCATCCCGTCCTCCTCTCCAACTACCACATGATGTTATGTTAGTCAAAGATCCTTTGAAATGTTGAGTTCCAAGGTTAAAGCGAGTTGCTTTTTTCAGCTGGAAAGCCTCTGCGTATCAACATTCAGAACCCGAACAAGTCTCAGTCGAAACCTTGTGTCATCTTCCAGAAGCCCATGGGACAAGTCATCATGGCCAAGGAAAATATTCCCAAACTATCGACAATCGTAAGTAACTAACAGTGATTTAGCAACAATTATCGTTAACCACTCTTATTGACAATTTCAATTTTATGACAAAATTATTAATTGTGTAAACAATTATACCAGGATATTTTTCCAAAGGGCTCAAATGTAATCCTTTAACACATAAAAATAGAAATAGGGAAGGGGTTAAGGAATCACAAATGTTTCTAAGGGAGAGTGGTTCTAATCCATAGGATGTCAGAATTGGAATCCGTCACTCTCACAACCTAAGTTTGAAACACTTACCACTTGAATTTTTCAACCTTCTTGTGAAATTGTTCTCTAAATTAGGGGAAAAATTGTTATCCTTTTTCCAAGAGCATATTAGTGACATTCCTACTTTCGAAATTGAAGTTTACTTGTCATTAACAATAAATTGTGTTTCTAGACTCAAGGAGGACAGACAAAAACAGTGTTCAAAGTCCTGAACGCCACTCCAGGTAAATATAATTTTTATTCTGTATCTATTGTTATTTTGTAAATCGGTTCAAAATTAACTTCATCTATATAGATAAACATAATTAATTTGATGAAACCAAACCAAAGTTAGATAATAAAACATTCCCTCAAATTTAAATTAGTAGTTGTAATGATTGTTTACAGTTAAATTTTACTTGTGATTTTTTTTTATAATTAATACTCGATTGAAATTGACTGTATACATTTACCAAATGAAAATATGTAAATAAAAAAAATTTTTGGAACATGGTTTTTGGAAGATAAAAAAGATTGACTAAACCATTTTTCAAATAATTATTTTTTTTTGTTACAAACATTTTTACAGGTTGTGCAAAACAAAGATAAATTCAGAAGTTCAAAACGAAAACAGTCTTAGTCGAGATAGTGCTTGAGAACTAAGCTACAGCTGTTTATTTTAATTTTTTGCTTGATCTTTATACTATGACCTCAAAAACGTAGAACGTAGAAATTTTATCTTGACTTTTTTGTTTTCCAGGCCAACAGAGACAAATGTTCAACCTAGCCCCGGGCTCACCTAAACCACCCACTTTTGTGCTAACCAAACCAAACGCATCAGGGGAGTTTCAAATCAAAGGTACATAATTCAGAATTATATTTTTCATTTGGTTCCAAAAGAGCTATGTTGATCCTCTTAAGGACTTGTTATCGAGGATTTGCTGTATTTAAGTAGTATTGAAGTAGCCAGGATATATTGATTGTTGTAAACTCATCACATTTCTTTGATTACAGGCACACAGCTCATGCAACCCGGAACAAAAGTCATCACAATTAAGAGGCCAGTGACAATCACGATGCCCAAGTTCGCAAACTCAAAAATCAGAACTGCCACAGCGACAGTGACGAAACCTCAAACGACAAATACAGAGCCGACAACAAGCTCAACTACTACAAGTGACGGTGCTGCCATCCAACCCACCAACATTGCTGTCATCCCAAGTGACAGTGCTGTTATCCACCCTGATAATGCTGTTGCCCACCCTACCGACCGGGTTGCTGTCCAACCGACAGACAGTGCTGCTATTAACCCTACCGACAGTGCAACCACTACGGTGAAGACAATCAAGCAATCCAGTCAAGTGGTTGTTTCTGATGATCAACAACCAGAAGCTCTGACCAATGGTTACTCCTCAGTAAGTGGTCTTTCATTTTGTAAAAAAAACCTTTACCAGCATAGTAAATGTAAAGAATGTGTGGTAATACTTTAAAGGTATTATTAGAAAAGCAGTCCTTGTATGCATTCTGTAAATTCTGCCAAAGTGCACAAAGAAAAACTGTGTAAAGCAAGGACTAGACTTACTTATGTTATTCTGATATTGGTTATGAAACTGTTTTGAGCAAAGTTATAATTTTTTGGGGGGCTAAATAAACTTTAATACATTTTGTTTCATGGGTAAACTCAGATTTTAAAAATGGGAAAAATTTTAGATTTGTAGAACTGTAGCAAAAAGTGCTCATGCGAGGTTCATTGTGTGGGTTTTTTGTCGGCTCTTGCAGTAAAGTACACTCTAAATCAGAAACGTTTTGAAGATGCGCTGAATGTTGGCTTTTGGCAAAGATTATCTGTATAGGGTTTTCACAAAAATAAGATATAAATACATGTCAATAACTTCTTGATCAGCATCGTATGTGTTATTAAATTACCTGAAAATACAAGCAATACGTCAAATTACACTTGTAATAATATATTAACACTTATACTTTTGACTCACAAGACTGTAAGTAACGTACATATAAGAGATGGTAAACAACAATGCTATTGGGTCTGATGGTTGGAGTGTTAAATTGAAATCGATCACCACTCACCATCTTTTTATATATATATTTTTTTTACCGTACAAGTAGTGTTATTTGACATACAATATTGTTTGTACTTTCAGGTAAATACATAATATAGCCTAGGTAAAAGATTATTAAGGGAGATAAAAAACTTTAAACACAAGTTAGGTGCCTTTGATTCTGGCTATTCATTCATGATCATTCATTGCTAACAAGAGCAACATTATTAAATAGATGTAACACAATTCTTACAAAGAATTTGACCTGTATGATCATTAAATTATGTAGAATTTGTGTGTTAAGTCTTATTAGCCAACTGAGGTAACCAACTGAGCTCATGAATAACTGTAAAAGAAAGGTTTTTTTTGGGTGGGAAAGTCTGTCAAGATAGGTATTGTTTTTAAGTTGCATATTCTGCCTGTTTCAGTCACAAAGCACAATTGAAGCCATCACCCCCATCTCTGAAACTGCAACATCACCATCAAGTTTGAAACGACCTGCGGACGCCCCAGCAGAGCCGCCAACTGATAGTAGCGTTAGTCCGGGTATGTCAACAATTTCTACAATGTTAATGTAGTAAGCAGCATTTAAATGTCAACTCAATTTTATATAAAGGTCCTTTGCTCTAAAAATGTTTTGATTTTAGTGTGTGTATGATCAGCTGAAAGTTAGACATGATCTAGAATAAGGTACCAATATTCAGTGGGAAAAATATATTCCAATTTTCGAGGGGGATTACATTTGATTAGGGGTTTTCTCAAAACCGGATCTGTCTACTCAGTCAGCGATTCCCAATGACGATGATGATGTCTCTTTGGTCTCGGAGATGTTCAATATTTTGTTGCTGTTGTGAGTGACTGATGATGTCCCTGCGATCCCATGAGATAACGATAGTGCCCCGATCACGTATTACAGTAATGTTGACATGGTTGTTGAAACAGTAACTAAAGATAACAAATTGATTTTCTTTGAGTTGAGATTACTATTTCAAGGATTTTTACTCAAGATTTTTTAATCAAACTATATAGTTTCCCTTGCTGCCCAGGAAGAAAAAATTCCGTTCTGAAGTACAAAGTACAATCAGGTCCATCTAGAAGTAAATCCAAACTAATCTTTGTTTTGGATTTTTCCTCTCTTCAATCTTTCCTCTGAACAAGTCTTGTATAAGGACAAAATATCAGTGTTATTTATGTAACCTTTTATTGTGTATCTATCATCCCATGAACTCTTTATCCCTTCTGAAAAATACTCCTTGACAATTCACTTGCCTATTTTTAAATCTTAAGCTCAATTATAGCCTATAACATGTTTTCTTTTCCAGGCAAGATCGTGAAAACCTGTTGATAACGCCATGGAGCTCCGGTGAATGTACCAAAGCAGTATTATTTTAGTTTTAAGTGTTGAGCTCTCTTTTTCGTTAATTATGTATTTCATTGCCCTATGTACTGAAATTCATTTAAAGATGTGTCACATTATCAGTAATTTTTTGTCGTGTGATGTTAACTTATTTTATTAGTTTTGATATTTGGTTCAGTTTTGTATTAAAAATATAAAAGTTGTGTTAGACCTAAATTGTGGTTTTGACTTTTGGTGAATCGTATATCTTTTGCTCAACGATTGTTTGTTCCTGAACACCATGGAAATTGAGGTGTTAGTTAATACTCATTTTTATTGTATAATTTTGTGAGATCTATTGATTCTTGTTATTTCTAGTTAAGCTCAATACTCTTGGTGATGTACAGTTCAAAGTTTAACAGTATCCTTTTGGCCCGTGTTGAAAAATTACCTTTAAATTGCTATAAAAGATTTTCAACGTAAAATTCTTGTGAATTCTGTAAAATTTCCAATGCCATGGATTCTAATATATTTGGTAATTTAAAACGTGTGCTGGGTTTAAAAATGAAATGCCTACTTAACCTTTCCATGAATTAATTATTTCTACTTTACGTCTTTTTGACTTGCTAATTTTAAAATAAGTCAGATTTATTTGTGTAATTTTAGCTTGAAAATTTAAGTAACTACTTGCAAAACGTTTGTCAAACTTGAACTGTTTTCACTCACAACCCGTGAAGTAAGTTTTAGTAACAAAACTAGCTTGTAAGATGGACTAAAGGTAAACCTTTATTGGAAGTTACCTTATTTTCTAATTAGGTTTAAGGTTTGTACATTGCTGTATTTATTAACATCAATGGGCTGTTGCAAGCCTTCATAATTTCATTTTATTTATTACTAGATTAGTTGTGTTATTTATGAACACAAAGATGTATTTTCTGGCAAAAAATGTGCCATTTAATTGACTGCTCAAAATATTTTATTCGCAAAACAAAACAGTTTGACAGGAATGAGGATTAGGTCGGTGCTAAGGACGGATGTGATAGGAAATGTGTGGAGTGTTTAATGATCTATAGAAACTACGTACAGTTAAAGTAAAGTTCAAATATTTAAATAGTTTAATAACATTTTAGTTTTCATAACATAGTAAACAAAAGTAATGCACTGAGAAAATTATCTTAGGAAAAAACCAACAGAGTGTTTTATAAGAGTTAAACTATGTTTTCTACGTGTTCTCAAAGTTGTTTCTAAATAAAGAAATTGTAAAGATTTTTTGTTGTTTATCAATTACCCCGATAGAAATCTTATTCTGTAATTTTAAGAGTGTGTTTTGGCAAGCTTTGGTAAATTGATGATACAGTAGCATCTCTAAAAAAACTAAAAACTATATAAAATAACTCTTGATCATCATTGTACGTGTTTGTGTTATATAACAAGATATAAATCTTTAAACACTACAAAGTTCTTGACGCATTTACAGTTTCCACTAATTTACTGTATACTTTTAATAATTAATTTACATACAATACGTTGAAATAATGGGGTTTAATCAAGATTACAATAGCTTCTATATTGTTAACTGTTCAAGTTTCTATGAAATTGAAACTGTCTCTCAGTCAGAATCAGAATGTTTCCCCAAATCGAAGAAAAGGAAAAAACAAAGAGATAAAAATAAAATACCGGTACATTTTTTAAATAGTTTAATCAACAAAACACACAATAACATATTTTCAAAGGAAACTAAGATTTCACACAACACAGTAAAAAATCATTATAAAAATCTTTATTTTAACTACCTTAATATCTTTGGTTAGACTAAAACAGTATGTTTGGGTATATATTCATAGCAGGGGGGAATATATTCTGTAGACCCCGTGCTTATCCAGTAAAACAAATAAAAGCAAATGGTACGTTATGACCAAAATAAAAAAACCCCTAATTTTGAAAATAAAAATTAATTTAATAATACATTTTTATAATAATCTATTTGACGCCAGTACTCTAAATTTAAAATATAAGTATTTTTTTATATTTCGTAAAAATAATGTATCCCACAACTAAGGCAACCTAGAAAATAGTTCCTGGTGGTAAAGAAATCATATTTTTTAAACTTGTGCATTTTCTAACACCATAGGGTCAGAAATGCAAAGCTCATGCTTTTTCCAACAAAGTTACTGGATTAAGATGTCTGGTTTAACATTGCAGATATATTATAAATTAAATGCAATGTTAAGAAATTGAACAAAATATGTAGGGACTAGTTTAAAGTACATTTTGTTCACATTATTGTAATAATTATCTAGAAACTATAAAATTGCTGAAGGAGCCCACACAATAAAGACTCAAATGGTTCTTTACCCAATAGAACCTTAAACCTATACATTTGTTTGCACACGAGTAAAAATACCACAATAAACAAAACAAACTGTAGGTAACACTTTATATCTGAAAGAAATTGTATTACAGGTATACTTATTAAAAATTAATAATAGGAACTAAAACAAGAACAAAAAAACACTGTCATAAAACAATAGACTACAAAGTTATAATGGTAACAATAAATGGAATGTTTCGTAAAAAGATAAATTTACAGCACAATTTACAGCTTTTGTAATTATTTATCTGCTGAAACCCAATTTAAAGTGATCTAGTTTATCTCACATGAATTTAAAGTTTGATCAGTCGTTATAATTATTTAATAAGATTTGTATTAAGAATCTCTTTTCAATGCAAAATGTTTGAACACCAACAAGTGTGTTTGGACAATTTTTTTTCTATTTTATACATTTGTATTCCAAAAATAGTTGACATAAGAAATTCAAATTAACTAAGATTTTTAAAACTAAGGATTTCTTAAAAAGAAAACATACAAAAAGCTGGAAATGACAAACAAAAACAAAACTTTATTTCATAACTTATACATATCACTCCATCATCTTCAACACAGTCGAGTAAGAGGACGGGAATATTGAGTAGATCAAAGAAAGCAGTTGAGACGAAATTTGATAAATCCACTACTGCTCAACTAAAAGAATTTCTCACAAAGCATAATGTAAAAAGAAAAGTAGCTCCACGTAAAAAAAGAGTGAATCTGTATCTCCAATTCAGTAATACTTTAACTTTTGAGTTAAAGTTCTGTTTTAGTATATGATTTTCAGCTTTTATATATTTGATATTTAAGACATGCTGCTAGACAATTGTCCAATTACGTTATTAAACCATGAATTTTAAAAAAGAAACATCATAAAACTTAGACATACATAGCTTCAAAGAAGGATAAAATAGATCAGACCTTTAGGAAAATCTTTCTCTTCCATTTTCTTTGAGTATGGTGAACCATCAGAAATACTCTAAACTGTATACATAAGGCACAATATGCTTACGGTTACCAAAATACTATAACCCTGGTTCTAAAACCTTTATAAAATTATTTTTGTATTGCTGGTAAACAAATAGACACAATTAGGAACCAAAACTCATATATAAAGGTTCATCCCCACAAATTTTAAATAATATATTTTTGGGTAACTCAATTGAAACAAAAGTCAAAAACAAAAAAACACTTGTAAAGACATGTAGATTCTATGCTCTATGTTTTCTTTCTCTTTTCTTTACTGCACAATCATATTTCAAATTGAAATGTATCAACAGATGGGACCTTCGTTTGAAACTCTTGTTGCATTTGTCGCAAACAAACGGCCGTTTGTTGGAGTGGATCACGCTGTGCTTTTTCAGGTCCCCGTTGGTTGTACACTCGTAATTGCACTCTGGGCACTTCACACTCTTAAGCCCCATGTGTCTTTTGATGTGCGTTCTTAGCACTGCTTTCTCACCCGTGATATAGTTACAATAGTCACAAATGAACTCAGTGATGTCTGTTTCTACTCGTTTAGAGGTTTTGTGAATGGATGGTTTTCCGTGAATGGAACGCATATGATTCATCAGTCGATGTCTAGTAGGACAGGAATATTCACAATAATTACACTCCCATCTGCGTCTGCCAATATGACAGAACATGTGCCTTTCCAAATCTCTCTTGCCAAAAAATCTCTTTCTACAATGATGACAGATGAACAATTTCTCCGTGACATCGTTGACTAAATGTTTATCTATAATGTGGCGATTCATGTGCCCCACAAAACCGTGCATTGCATCACATATTAGACACGTGTATTTGTCTTGGGTGAATGCAAAGTGGAGTTTGAAGTGATTTTTAAAATTTTTCCGTCCAATATATGTTTTTTGGCAAGGATCGCAAAAGTATTCCTTGTTAGCAAAAATTCTGTCACGACTTATTCTGGCTGGAACAGGAGAATTCCTACATTAGTAACACTAAAACTATTTATGTACCAAGAGTGCAAAGTACGTCATTGCCACTCCTGTAGATGACCGCACACCTAAAGCTTCATGCGGCCATACATTTTAAGAGCACATACATACAAGATTTTTTCTACTAACCTTAACTTATCATAACATACAAATTAACTAAGTTTTATATAATAGGCCTATGTCTTTTAGGTTATGTTTGTTGTTTTAGGTTATGTTAATTTGCGTACAGGTTGTTTGTGTTTCATAAAGACAAGACTTAACAATCACTACAACAGGTTTTCATTTATAACCACTCACAGCTAATATAACAGACTCCTTTGTAATTTTCATACTTTGTTAAGTTTATGATTATTTATGTTGACGATAACAATAAGGAAAAATAATTGTAATCAGCTGGTGTCCGGAAAAATATGTTACAGTCTTGAATTTTGCCAGACACTAGCTGATCATAGATTAAGCAGAGGGCAAATCGCTGTTTCCAGAACTACATCCATGGGAGGAAAGTCAATGAATACAGAGTTTTGTGAAGAAAGCAAAATGTTCATAACCTTTATTCCCCCTTCATGATAAAAAGTATCAATCACAACTTGTACAAAAAGTGCTTCATTACCACAATTCTATCAATTATGAAACTCTCACCTTTGGATTCCTATCTCAAAGAAATATAACGTAAGTATACATAATCTACCTGAAGCAAAATGTCCTTTTGTTTCTTGGGAGACATCCACCTTTTGATTGCTCTCGAATTTTTTTTTATTTATTATTTTTCTTTTGAGTTTTATGTCACTTGATGGAGCACAAAGATTACTCTGCAGACAAAATAGAAATTGTAAACACTATTCTCTAAAACTAGGGTCCCCGATTGATAACTTAAATATATATGGTGTTTCAAAACAAAAGAGCAGATTTTAAAATGTTAATTACTTTAACACGTTTGCTGCTAGGGACGTTCCGGAACGTCAGCGGGGCTACGGCTTCAGGAGCTAGGAACTTTCCGGAACGTCACCGCTCATTGTTGTTTAACGTTTCCAAGGATCAGCCAGCTCGTCATGAGCGTCCTATATTTCTTTTCACCTCGTGGGGACGTACTTTTCTGACAATAAAAAATATAGTTTCCCAAAATCACAAACCAGGGTTGTTTTGAACAGTGCTTGTGCACCTCTTTCCTGCTAGATAGCAACACTACTTTGCCAAATGCCGACTGCAACCTGGGTAGTGCTGCTATACTATCAGAATCATGTCCAAAATCAGTTTTTTGCAGAACATTGCTATCCAGTATAACTACTGTTGTTTTTACTGTAATTCAGTGTATCAGCGGCGATGTTACGTAGCGGCGAAAGCTAGTTCAGCTCCTGGCGCCGTCGCGGCACCTAGCGCTTAGCAGCGAACGTGTTAAAGCCTATTAACAAATATGATTTATATGGTATTGGATATAAGATAAAATGAAATCATATGAGCTATAATGAAAATAAAAAATGTTGTATTAAAGTACCTAAAAACAAGTGATCACCTCAAACTAAAATATAAAAATGGAAAATTAACCCCAATTCTTTGCTCTATCCAATCCCATCCCTTAATTAATTCAACCCCCCATGTTGTTTGCAATCTTTTTATCCTTAATAATCACAAGGGTTGACCGTAAATTGAAATTAAGGTCATCATCTAGGTCCTGTCAAAGCCAAATAAGCTAGCTTTGTGTTCTTTACTTCATCTACTAATACTCCGGGCAGTTTTGTGGGTCAATTAGTCTAGTAGAAGTATTCAAAAATGTTCTGAAAAAAATTGACACTACCGCCAACTATGAATTGCTTTCTGTAGTTAGGTTTTGTTGAGAAGGGCTCAATCCCGGTTGATTAGTGTTGCTAGTTGACACATGTGTATGCAGCAAAGTGTTTCGGCAGAAAATGTGCATAAGTGGCTAGGGGAACACGAAGAAGGTTGAAAACATCTGACAAATGCCAGCAGCAAGTGTTCATCAGTTTCCATCCAGTGGTTGAATTTCAGGAAACTGCTTGATGATCAGCATGTTCAAGACTTTTAGGGACCTTGATAGTCTTAGAGACGTCCCCTATTAGTTCAACTATCTCTCTCGTTCAGCATGCAAATGAGACTGATGATCGACAGCGGATGGCCTATAACATGGTAAACAAACATTTCACAAATGTTTAAACCACCTCCACCTCATACACACATTGTCTACGTCCAAACACTTAACTTCATTCAAATTAAAATGGTGTTTACTGTTTTAAATAATCGTGTTTGAAAGAATAAATAAATAAAATTGTAGGCTGCTAGCGAGACTCTTGATAATATTAAAATTCCATCAACTGGTCAACAAATTTCCCAATTTATGCTAGGCGGTTTGTGAAATTTGTTTCACAAACAACACTTTTGAATACTATGACGAGACTAATTGTCCCACAGGGATAGGAACTGGCTGGGAGTAGAATAGTAGTGGTTGGAGTTAAGAACACAACGTTGGTTTTAGATTTGAACTAGCTCTCTTGGTTGCGATGGAGACCTTAATTTACACACAATAACTATTTATGGTGATGATTTCCAGACAAAAGAGTTGAGAAAAGTTAGTAATACTTAAATATAAAGCACCCAGGGAAATATCTGGATTAAAGCATAAAGTGGATTGAGCATAATAGAGATTAACATGTTCGCTACCGATCACCACATATTTGCGATGCTGCAATCATTGCCACGGCCCGAGGTATACATTTTAATATTACACATAGACCACGTGTCACTTGGTTAACAGTACACGCAGACCACGGGCCAGTGATGCAGCAAAGTAAAAATTAGTTTTGCCAACTATCATATGACGTCACTAATCATCATATCCACAGACCAAGTGACGCACATTTGCGACAGACATCCCTGTAGGCCACTGCAGAGAATTCAGGGCCTTCATATAGACCATTACAAAGATATAAGCTTTTTAATAACATTGGACACCGACGCAAATATGTGACATCATTATCAATCTATTTTTATATGACCAGCTGTTGCATATATAGCTATGATAAAGTAGCAAAAATATAAAAATGCTGAGAGGCGATAAAAATGATACACAGGATTGAAAAAGTAGAAGCAGTTAGTACAATGCCAATACCTTCTTGGGTTTAATGGCCATTGCACGATATATTAACTCTTACCTGCACACGATTTCTGGGAACCGTAAACCCCAACCTGCACGGAGATATCAAATTCCAAACTTTTTGGTATAATGGTGTAATTTGTAGTTAGATAGGTGTTAAAAATAGACTTTTGTTGAAAAAAAATATTTTTCTGGTATTTATATATGTTAAAAATGGTGTTACACATTACGTAACACCATGCACCCCGTAGTATTAATAGTTACATATTTTGTAACACCATGCAGTATTTTGAATCATTCAATAGAGAGCTTTATATTAATTTTATTGTTTCGGTTACTTCTGAAAATTGAAAAAAAAACAATATATTTATTAAACATGACTTTATTTCACTTAACTTAAATTACTTGGCCTACTCTACAATGTGAAATCGTTGGAAGCAGGTCTTGGATTTGCTTAGGCACAGTGGGACTTTGCAAAAACTACAACTCCAAAATGTGGATACTTGTCTATCTTTTGTACTGCAAACGGCACATCGTCGTCTGGTGCTTCTTACTGGCTGATGTGAAGAATCACTTTGACGTACTTCCCGTGGGATTTGCGGCTTTCTTCCTGTGAATAGTGGCGTAGCGTCTATAGCAATAGGAACAGCTTGAGTGAGACTTTTTCCAACAAGACCAAAGACGATTTGACGGCGGAAAGATTTACTGTCATACCTCTGAATGGGCAAACAGTTATGCATAATATATGCATTTACAACAGCTAAATCAATAAAATAAAATAAAATACGATGCCACCACTTTTGGCTCTGCCTGTCAATTTCATAGTTGGACTTAAGTAGATAGAATTTGTCAACACAGTTCATATTTTGGTTGTAGTCACTTACGGCCGATGGGCAACCAAGAGTAATTCGGCTTCCGTCTTTCTCTTTTCTCTTTATTGTTGCTTCGTCACGGGGGTCGTGGAAATTGGACAGTAAATGTACTGCTTTGTTATCAATCCATTTTGTACAAACAACACTGTTGTTGCTCACAAACCACTCACTCTCACCCCTTTTCATTTCTTTAGTGTTTCGAAAAGCAGGGAGGTTAACCCGGTCAATCATGACCGTGCCGCAAGCATTGATCTCCAAATTCTTCAGGTCTTCCATCAAAAAATAAGTAACGAAATAGTTGTCAATATAAATGCTGTGATGCTTTCCTACAAGGTCTTCAGTCAGTCGCTTTACAACAGTTGGGCCTAAATCATACTGCCTTGTGTCTCCAACTTTCCCTGTGTAGATTTCAAACTTTAGTACATAGCCAGATTTGTCAGCCAACAGCCACAACTTGTAGCCCCTTTTAATGGGTTTTTTTGGCATGTACTGTTTGAGTCCACTTTTGCCTTTGAATTTGATCATGGATTCGTCCACTGCAAGCACCTGACCCGGATGGAAGTTGTCTTTGATGTTTGCAGCTATATCATTCAAAAAGGGGCGTAGCTTGTAGAGCTTGTCATAGTCTGGAGACCCTTTATCAGGTTGTAAGGTATTATCATTTAAGTGTAAGTTTCCTAACAACCAGCTAAATCTATTTAGTGGCATTATTTTACTGATAAAAGGATCGTTCAGATCTATAGCAGATGACCAGTAATCACGATAACTTGGGAGGCGTTTTATGCCCATCAAGATATTAATACCAAAAAATGCCTCTATTTCCTTATTATTAGTAGGAGTATAACGTTTTCCTGACTGCTGTGCATATAAGTTTGTTTGAAAAACAATATCTTCAATTACTTTTTCTGAAATAATGGTTTTGAACAGTTTGTAGGGAGTGATGTCATCCTTTGAGGATACATTTTCTGAAACCCCCATCTGCCCTTCTACGATACCTGACATGGTAGGTATATCTTGTTCATTTTGACTCCATGTTGGTGATGGCCGTATATCTGGACCAAACTTTGGATCCTTTTTCGGTTTTGGGAGACAATCTGTTTTTTTCCTTGCAGATCCAGAAGTCCCAGACGCTCTTTTACTTCCTCGCAAATTGTTAGTTAGTTTATTTGTAGTCTTCATTTTATGTGTTTTTCTTTTTTTAGAAGTAGAAGGTTTATTAACTTCATTTCCCACGGCTTGCGGACTTGATGCTACTGAAGGACGAGGTTCAGATAGCTCTTCCTCAGAGTGACCAGGAATACTAATGGTTGCTGATGTCCCAGGCAAACTGATTGTGGAAATTTCTTGCTCGGTCTCAGATGATTTTCTTCCTAGTACATTAGGAGCTTGTTTTCGTTCGTATGTCTTTATTTTTGTAGAATCAGATAATTTAATTCCACAATTTTCCACAACTTGCGGACTTGCTAACTCTTCAGGTTGGATACACGATTGATTTTCTCCAGAGATAGATGAAGAGGCTATGCTGGCTACAGGAGAAAATAGTTCTTCTACTCGTACATCTTGAAAATCCATATAGAGGTCATTGCCTGAATTGTCCGGTTCAGTTACAGAGATGTCTGGCATTGTATGGAGTATTTCTTCTGTATTTTCTAGTGGTTCTGCATCGTAAGTTTGTAAATAATCGTGATCAAAAAGGGAATCACCTGAAGCAATAAGTTCTGTATAACTTTTATCGCCGCTAGGCAAAAAAACAGAAGATTCTTGTTGATTGTCATTCTCCAGGTCATCTTCACTGTCCGTGTCCGACGGAATAGGCTCGAACACATATTCCACAATCTGGTTTGGCGATAGAAATTTCCGATCAGCCTTCTTCCATGTCTGAAAAGAACAAATTTCTTTTAGAATATACAATAAAAATAGGCTTTTCACAGAAACTAATAAGCTAATAAAAATATCAATTTTCTCTTTTTATTAGGTGAATTAATAATTGAAACATAAGCCTCATAAAGTTTGATTAATTTGTCAATAATAAACCTATATTAATAAACATAGTAGAGTTTTAAATTAATATCAATGTATGTCATCGTGCTGCATGGTGTTACAGTTTAGGTACTTCACAAGTAACCGTGGTGCACGGTGTTACATTTTTTGTACTCGGTGATTTCAACATTTATGGATAGTAAAGTTGCAAAAACTACCATTATTATGTAGCCTAAGGTAAGGTAAGGGACTATATTTTCATAATAAGTACTTATCATAGTCATAACTTAACTACTTACCTCAGAAAAATTCCACTAAATGTGCAAAACAACGAATCCGTGTTTCCCTGATTACAATAACAACTTTAGGCGGCAACAAAGTGGATCAGACAATCAGAACTATTCATGCCATCTAGTGGTAACATAAGGAATTACGTACACTTGTTTCCTAAACGTCCGCAAGAATGCGCTAGTGATAAAAAAAATTAACATCTGGTGTTACATTTCTTGTAACGCGTGCAGGTTGGGACTTCAAATAAGTGTTACACATTGTGTAACGCGTGCAGGTAAGAGTTTCAGTATATTTATTACTGTACTGTTAAAAGAATAAAATCTTACCTGTTTTTCACTATTATTCACTAAATCCAATAGAAACTGGTTTCCTTCAAAATTTTCAGACTCACTGTTCGACCTTTAAAAATAAATACCAAAATTATTATTAGCTTGTTTTGATGATTAAAAACACTGTATTATACAAATTAATGTAGTATGACACAGATATTTTGAAATAGGTGTACTGGTAATAATAACAAAACTGAAAGAACAGTTTTTGAACGAAGTGTTGTAATTTGTAATCAATTGGAATTGAGGTATCTTAAAACACATTCACTACCAGGTCTCACAAAACCCCTCATAAAATGTGACAGCTGGTAGGCATTGTGACAATCCATCCATCAACATAATCCCAACAAGGTCTTTAACCACCGGGTTTTATTATTTTGTGGCTACAATTAAAAAGTATAACAAGCCGGTAAAAGTTATTATTGTAAAAGTTTGATTAAAGTTTACTTACGATGAAAAATCCTGCGGCTCTTGTTTAATCCCGCCATCTTGATAACTGTTCAAGTACCTAAAAAAATAGAAACACAATTTGAAACAAATAAAAATGGTTCAAAATTTTGCCAGAATGATTTCAAGTTAAATGAGTTCCACAGTACACAAACCAAAGGCCACAAAAACTTTTGGATGCTGTTGAATGCTTCATAGACTATGCACAGAGTTCTGTAAACATCATAGCCTGGATCAATTTTGCCTAAAGTGAGAAAAGACAAATATACAATTAGTTTATTTTCCATACTATTACAGTGATTTGAATTATTCTTGCATGCATTTTTGGATACTCCAGAAACAGGTCTAACTGTTTAGTGACAACTTGTACAGGTAATTTCATTTTTCATTTTTTTGTGTTAGACAATACACGAGCAAGAATCAAATACCATGACAGGACCATCACAAGAACATCTCCATGCACAAAAAATATGTCAAAAGAAAGCCTAAAACAATCTCAGTAACAGTAAAATAAAATTAATTTACTGTGTGATAAAGTATGTAGTATACCTGCTCTGCTTTAGCTAATTTCCCTATAGGAAAGTAGCTATCACCGTAGGTGGCACGGTAAGATCGGAACCGGGACCAATATACTTTTTCATTTTGATGTCCCTAATAGTGTTCATTTTGAACAATAGTTGTTCAAATTTATACATAATATATATATTATAAAAGTCTGTGAGCACAATAACTTGAGTAATTTTTTTCCGAATCCATTAAATTTGGTGTGAAGGTGTAAGACCAGGATAAACTTGAATGAGTTCGCGAACCTGCATGATAGGACCATGGGAACATGGTTTTACAGGGGATTTTATGGGGTAAAAATTTGTTTTTTACATTTTTGACCCTCAAAACACAAAATTTCCCAATTTCTCTCTAGACCATTTTAAAGAACTTAAAAAAATAATAAAAATAATAATTTACTATACCAAAGTGTTTTTGTGTGGTTAATGGTTACAGAGAAAATTCAAAAAATTGCAAATTTAAAATTCCCATGTTATTCTTATGGAGAATATTGTAAAATGTAGTTTGCTTGTTTATGGAAATATTTTTATTAAAGTTGGCAAATTTAATTTTATACTAAGCTACTTATATTTTACTAAATAATACACTTTAGTAGTAGTTTAAAATATAAAATTTTTTTCTTGCCTCCTTGTAGCAGCAAACCTAGGTACTCGTTAAGCCTATGGTGTTATTTAAAAATAGATTTAATTTAAAATCAATTCAGGCAAATGGAAATTCTCTTAGTCTGCAGGTTTGCAGCGGCGGGGGTATTTTCATTAGAGGTGGGGTCTGGTGAAAACTTGCCAGATAAGATAAAAACACACAAAGACATGGTTGGGCTCTCAAAGTATTCATTGTCCTGAGGAAACAGGACGCTTTTCAGGTTACCGGTACACAAAACGTTGGTTTTGATTTTCCAGGACGATTTGTGTGATGTGTCGATGTGTGTGTGTGTGCTTTTTAATTGAGTCTGAATGACATTTAAGTCAATAAAAAAGACAAAGTCTGACAAGACAAAAATAAAAGTGAGTGAAGCCCACGGAAATTCAAAAATGAATTATACAACCACTTCTCCTAAAAGCGAGTCATTTAAAAATACCTGTCCTTTATACATGTTTTTCTTTAAACTCTTTTTCCATTATGTTTTTCCTAAGGCCTAGTCATACATTTGGCCGAAACGGCACACGGACGATTTCTCAGGTGCCGTTTGACGTCACTAACTGCTGACGTCACTTTGAGGGAACACCAATACCGCAACGATACGGTTAAGAGCCATCGGCCTCTGTGGTGCAGTGGATAGCGTTGCGGGCTGATATTCCGAATGGTTCGGGTTCGAATCCCGCCGGCGCCACTAACTTTTTTATCAACAATTTTTTCATATCAGCAAGTTTGGTTGGTTTGGTTAGGTTATGACAGTTTAATTTTATAATTAAAAAATTATAAAATTGAATTTTAGGCAATTATAATTTTATTTTATGAACAAAACTATTTTTTAGATTAGTAAACCTTTATTCGATTTTTCCATTATAAGCACGTTTGGTTAGTTTGGTTAGGTTATGACGGTTTAATTTAATAATAGAAAATTATAAAATTGTCTGTTCCTTCAGACGCAGCAGTTAGTGACATCAGCAGTTAGTGACGTCAGCAGTTAGTGACGTCAAACGGCACCTGAGAAATCTTCCGTGTGCCCCACCGATTTGGCTGCTGAAAAGGAAAAAATGGGAAAATATTTACAATCTAATCAGATGGGGGTGTAACTTACTTAAATCAACCAATAAATATCTTTATAGAAAAACATACAAAAAAGTAAAAATACAATAAAACTTATTAATACAAATATTGATTTTTAACAAATAACAAATTATAAGATAAAGTGTTACACTGTTTACGATAGAATCATTACCCTTAATATTTAAGGATCAACATTTTACGGCAAACCATTAAATAAAAATACTACTAGAATCAGAAGATACAAAATAATCATGATGCTACTTCAGACTCAAATCAACGTACAAATTTAACAAACAACATAAGTAAACTTTCAGTAACTGACCCTTGTTCATCATCATCGTATATTGATGCATCCTCCTCCTTTATGCGAAAGCTGCCAGACATAAAAATACTAGTAAACTATCGTTAGTATTAATTCTAACATTAAGAGGCAAATTTATAGCCATTAGGACTCAATGACAACTATTTATAACTTGATTTTTAAGAACTATCTCATACCCTAACCTGAGTACCTTAGAAAGTGTTTGTACCTGAAATGAAAGTAGAAGTAGACCTCTCACAATACTATAATAAACTCTGAAGTTTTTTTATGATTCTTGAGTCAGACAGATTACGTAAAAATATAAAAATTATATAAAAAATAATCACTATCGCCTTTGTTATCAGAGGTAATATAGCACTGTTGCCGTTTCGGAGATTACTTTATCATCGGGTAGTAATATACACTAAATTAGAGTAAAAATTTAAAAAGGTACAGCTCGTGACATACACAGGGTGTCTAGTTTATTTCCATTATAAAATTCAAGACTAATTCCAGACTTTTTAAGACTAATTCCAGATTTTTCAAGACTAGTTTTTCCACAATTAGGGGGTGTTGATACCAAAATGTATCGATTCTCGATTCCTGATACCGATACCAGTTTTTATAGCTTAACCAAATTTTCTAAATAATACTACACCAACCCCTGTCTTTGTCATAAAGTAGTATTATGATAATGTGGTGTTTTCAAGTAAAGAAATAATGCAGCAATAAAAAATTCTAACTAGCAAATTTGTTTTTTTTATCATGAAATCTTCCGCGTACCGTAAGTTTAGAAATCATCGTTGACTGCAGCGGTTACAGAACCATCATCGTCGTCTCCCGCGGTCACGGAAACGTCATCGTCGTCGTAAGCGATCGTGGCAAAATCATGAACATTTCCCGCAGCCGTGTAGACATCATCGTCGTCTCCCGCGGTCACGGAAACGTCATCTCCCGCAGTCACGGAAACGTCATCGTCGTCGTCCGCGATCGCGGCAAAATCATGAACATTTCCCGCAGCCGTGTAGACATACCCGCAGGGGGCCCACGCTCGCGTGGGTACGTGGCCTAGCGACCACGCGGACCCTAGCTAGCCCCCAGAGAGGAGGCAACTGTCCGGTGTTGGAACCGGCACCTCAAGTAGGCCACAGACATGGACGACTGGGCATCGGGTCCCAGTGACATTCCTTTATCCAGGATGGAAGGGGTGTTTAGCTCTAGGAGAGATGGAAGTGCATCATAATCTCCAACCTACCTGTGTCTGTGGTTCTTCGGGCTTCGGCTTGCTTGTAGTGTGCGACCAGCATTTAGTGTGGCATATCCTCGACTTTGGAAGTAGCCTGTCCTGGAGGTGAAAACGGGCAAGTACCCGCAGCTCATGGGGACACTCAAGGGGAGCGTAACCTCCGCAGTGTGAGGGCAACGGTTTGCAGGCACTTCTGCAGGCCAATCCCTGTCTCTGATCACGGATGGTATGGTTATCTTTAGTGTGGGGGGTTCTTCCCGGAACCTCAATTGAGTTAAGGGTGTCGCCACCTTTGGTGGATAGGTTCATCCGGGTGGGTCCCACTTCTATACCTGCCTCCTTTTGGGAAACCCTGATGGCCTGGCAGTGATGTTGGGTCTGACGGGCAAACGAAGTAGATCGGGTGCTGGGTCCGAGCCCGCCAGGGGTATCCGGGGATCTATCGCTCTGGCTATCTCTGGTTTCCCAGCAACTGGGTAAGGCCTCGATCGGGTAGTGGTGTAAATGGGAGGCTGGGGTTCCCCCGTCAGCTCGCTGATGGTCCCCTCCTTCTGGCTATGATGGCGGGTTCTGCCTGTCAGGGATTGGATAGGTCCCGGGTGTCGCTTGCACTAAATGCGTCGGGGCGCTCCAGTATGGTCCGCTAGGGCTTGTACCTGGTGGAACCCAACTGGAGTGACGCTTAAACAAGTAGCCGGAATCCCTGGTTAGGATTGAGGGGCAACCCTCTTTCCGAAGGGTCTGCTTCGGCAGCCGGTGAGCCTGATGACCTTAAGTCATCCTCCTATGGTGTCATAAAGGTTGGTGCGCAAGTTCCAATCGGCATCAGAGGTCCCGGGTAGTTCAAACGGTACCGGGTGTGTCGGAGAGTTTCGGCTCTTTGGACAAGTCATAAGTCTAAGTCTAAGTCTAAGCCGTGTAGACATCATCGTCGTCTCCCGCGGTCACGGAAACGTCATCTCCCGCAGTCACGGAAACGTCATCGTCGTCGTCCGCGATCGCGGCAAAATCATGAACATTTCCCGCGGCCGTGTAGACATCATCGTCGTCTCCCGCGAACACGGAAACGTAATCGTCATCTCCCGCGGTCACGGAAACGTCATCGTCGTCGTCCGCGATCGCGGCAAAATCATGAATATTTCCCGCGGCTGTTTAGACATCACCGTCATCTCCCGCGGTCACGGAAACGTTATCGTCGTCTCCCGCGGTCACGGAAACGTCATCGTAATCTCCCACGGTCACGGTAACGTCATCGTAATCTCCCACGGTCACGGTAACGTCATCGTAATCTCCCACGGTCACGGTAACGTCATCGTCGTCGTCCGCGATCGCGGCAAAATCATGAACATTTACCGCGGCTGTTTAGACATCACCGTCATCTCCCGCGGTCACGGAAACGTAATCGTCATCTCCCGCGGTCACGGAAACGTCATCGTCGTCGTCCGCGATCGCGGCAAAATCATGAATATTTCCCGCGGCTGTTTAGACATCACCGTCATCTCCCGCGGTCACGGAAACGTTATCGTCGTCTCCCGCGGTCACGGAAACGTCATCGTAATCTCCCACGGTCACGGTAACGTCATCGTAATCTCCCGCGGTCACGGAAACGTCATCGTAATCTCCCACGGTCACGGTAACGTCATCGTCGTCGTCCGCGATCGCGGCAAAATCATGAACATTTACCGCGGCCGTGTAGACATCATCGTCGTCTCCCGCGGTCACGGAAACGTCATCGTCATCTCCCGCGGTCACGGAAACGTCATCGTCATCTGCCGCGGTCACGGAAACGTCATCGTCGTCGTCCGCGTTCGCGGCAAAATCATGAACATTCCCGCGGCCGTGTAGACATCATCGTCGACTCCCGCGGTCACGGAAACGTCATCGTCGTCGTCCGGGATCGCGGCAAAATCATGAACATTTCCCGCGGCTGTTTAGACATCACCGTCATCTCCCGCGGTCACGGAAACGTTATTGTCGACGTCCGCGATCACGGCAAAATCATGAACATTTCCCGCGGCCGTGTAGACATCATCGTCGGCTCCCGCGGTCACGGAAACTTCATCGTCTTCTCCCGCGGTCACGGAAACGTCATCGTCATCTCCCGCGGTCACGGAAAGGTCATCGTCGTCTCCCGTGGTTTCGGAAAACGTCATCGTCGTCGTACACTATCGCGGCAATATCGTGAACATTTCCCGAGGCCGTGAGGACATCGTCATCATTGGCTTTCACGGTTACGTAAACGGAAGACGACGATCGCGGCAAAATCGTAAAAATTCCCGACTTTGAAATCAAATTTAAGACTAAATCCCGACTTTTCAAGACCATTATGAAATTCAATACTAATTCCCGACTTTCCCGATTTTCCCGACTACTAGACACCCTGGACATAATTGGTCCATTAAATCCTAGCAATAGATATAAATACATTTTAACAGTAACTGATGCCTGTAGTCGATTTGCATTTGCTTTCCCACTTGCAGTTGCAGATGGTAAATCAATTGTAAAATGTCTCTTAAAACTAATTTGTACTTATGGAACACCTTCTATTATACAATCAGATAGAGGTACTGAATTTAACAACAATTTGATTCGTGACTTAACCACAGCAATAGGTACATGCCAAATTCTAAGTAGTGCTTTCACACCACAAGTAAATGGACAAGTAGAAAACTTTAATAACACGTTGATAAATATGATTTCTCATTATGTAGCTGAAAAACCAAACGCATGGTCACAATACATTGACTATGTACTTTTTGCTTACAATAACAGTAAACACCAGACAACCAAGTACAAACCTTCGTACTTATTTTTAGGCTTTGAGCCAAGTTTTCCAAGTGATACTTTGTTTGTAAATCCAAATGTAGAAAAAGATCTGTTAGAAAACTTAAGAATTGTAAATGAAATTAGGGACACAATACCTTCTATCATAGCTAGTGAACAAAAGAAACAAAAAATGTATTACGATAGGAATAGGAGAGACTTAATCTTACACCCAGGAGACCAAGTTCTCATATGGTACCCTAAAAATTTAAGAGAAAATCAAACCAAATTTTCTTACCGCTACAAAGGTCCTTATACTGTATTAAAACAAGTTACACCAGTCTCATATCTAGTGGAAATCTTAAAAAATGGAAAACTTGTCAAAGAAGTAATTCATGTCTCCCGAATGAAAGTTTTTCAAACAAGACTTGTAAAATAAAAATATTTAGTTACGTTAGGTCAATAGATACTATGTTTATTTTATAAGATAATTTTGGTAACATACAATAATTCATAAATATATTTCACAAGTTAGCTATTTAACTGATTTTGATTTATTGCTACACAAAATAATTAACCACAATATATATATGATTCATATGCTTTGACCTTACCTAGTATTCACTTAGGTCTAGTTAGTCATAAGTAAGCAATGTGTATTCTAAGAAACAATTAGTACGTCTATTCCCGAAGCACACGCACTCCCGCAAACTCGTGTAAATATTATGTAAATAATGTGTAGCTACACAAAACTCAAGTGTTAAGTCGACTTTTAATACAAAGATATCGCGTGGCCACGCAGACACACACAGACAATCGTAATCAAGTTTACCATTGTAACTGTATTTTTAGTTCTTGTAACGAGCAACTTACTTACACGTTGGACACTTAGTGATTTTACTAGTGCGCGTAAGATGAATGATAATTAGTGACATTCAGTAACATACAAGTTGGTTTGGTGTACAGCCCAAGGACAAACTCCACTCAACGAGAAGTAATTAAGGATTGATCACCCTTAATTATTCACACACAAAATGTCTTTACAACTCTCTAGATTATTAAG